GTCGACTCAGCCTCAAACGAGTAACTGCTTGTGATGTGTGAACATCGCCACTGGGGAGACAAAGGCGGCTGGGCGTGGTGGATCCAAGTCTCGGGCGAAGCCGGGTAGTTAAAGCTAATGTAATAATACAATTAGATATTACATCTTCTATACGTATTATTATGATTGCATGTCAATAATATGCTTAAATTAAGTAGACATTTCCGTGGGAATTAGAATTTTTTATGTACTTTTGTTCAAATGTTATAAATGTATGTAAGTTTAACTTATTTCATAGTGTGTAACCCAGCCGTGCTAATCGGAGTTGCGGGGAATGTGTTATAATTTCGCGAGCTGGGCAAGCATTAGTAGGGTGATTGAGCAGTGTGGGGTTTTGTGGCACGTGGGCTGACGCAGAGTCTCTTGGTGAATGTCGCAGAGACATGAAGGCTCCCAGTAAGAGAACATTTCGAAACAAAGTGTTGCTGTCACGTGGCCTACTCGTGTGTGTTCCTGCGCGAAGCTGTCCGGTCATCTCAAGCAGCCGTGTGACGACGAGGAAGGGGACATGAACACAACGCAATCTTAACATCACTCGTCTCTGAATAGTCTTCATCCGGCCCGTTCTCCCGTTACGAGCACGCCGGGAGAGGGGCCAGACGGGCCGGCTACAAGGACACGATTCAACAGGTGACATGGTTACATAACGGACGTCGGTTATTAATGGTAATTCATGTTAATAGCTGTCACGTGGTTAAATAAAGAACGTCAATTACTTGATACATTAATCCGAATGAACTTTCATCTGATTAATTAATAGCTTAAGAGACCATGTCAATGGGCCTTCATTTGGTAAAATAAAGTATGCCATATACAACAGGAAGGTAATTTCATTGAGCTATTTACTGGTGACAAGAAAAGTACATTACATTTTAAACTATGATCCAATACAACAACATTTCAAACATTTCCGTTTACATTCTGATACGCGTAAACAGTGATCATCAGCCATGATCAAACCTCTGCTGGATGAAGGTTTTCCAAAGCCATCGCCATCTCTCACGATCCCAAGATGCAATAATCCGCCAAGCGTCTGGACACGAGCTGATTCAATTGCTTACAGATGCGTCTCATTCCTTATTTGCCACTTTGTAGTCATTCTTGCTTTCGGCAATCATCCCTTTTAGCAATGTATGGCGACCAAACTTTGGATAATGCCGTTAACTCGCATACATTCTCTAAATTTACATGTTCATCTGTCTGCCTCTTTGCAAATCCAAGCATGCATCTCTTTATTCTTCGTATTTGGTAATGGCCATGTCCCTGTTCCTTGGGAATTTTTGCTGTACTAATATGACGATATCGGGGCACATTCGAGGTGATTTGGGCATTGTGGATTAGAACACACACTCGTGCATATGCGTGCTTGCTAATAGTAAGCACGTATATACACAGACTACAGGAACAAGTGCTGTTAGCGAGTAGCAGCATCTATGAAGGCTGGTACAGGACACGAGGGGGTGGGTGGCCAGCACCACGCCCGGCCGCCTTTGTCTCCCCTGTGGCGATATTTTCAAATCGCACCACTCATGAAGCTGAGTCGACCTAGGGGAGGTTTGTAGTGCAGCGCGCAACCGTTACACTACCGCTCTCCATATACACACAATATATCAATACAATACCCGCCATTCACAACTAAGTGTCGGTGACGTCACCAAGGCACTTATGCCAGGCCAGGTGAACTTTAAGGCCACGTGAAGCGTCGAAGGCTCGCTAACAGGAGGTCTCGGGACAGACCCAGGTGCCATGGGTGGGCTGACTGAGATGATCGGTAGATGCACCAGCTGTACCCCCTACTGTGCTAACTTCGCCCAGTGGCTAAAAGTTACAACAACCGCCGCCGCCATTCGTCACTAAGTGACGGTGATGTCACTATGGCGCTTGTGCCAGGCTAAGTCAACAAAGACAAAGATCCCCCGTATAGCCTTAGCAGACTGTAGGGACAAGTGCTGTTAGCGAGAACCTATGAAGGCCGTAACGGTACACGAGGGGGTGGGTGATCAGCACCACGCCCGACCGCCTTTGTCTCCCCAGTGGCGATGTTTACACACTGCACTGGGTACTCACTTGAGGCTGATTCGAACTAGGGGATGCCCAGGAACGGCTCAGACAATCGTCACTGGTATTTGCCGTGAACGGGAATCGAACCCGGGTCGCCAGGTTTATAGCGCATCGCGTTAACCGATACACTACTGCTCCCCGCTAAGTCCACACATACTCATACACACAACTGCAATTCGCCACTAAGTGACGGTGACGTCACCACGACGCTTGTGCCAGGCCATGTGCACCTTGAGGCCACGTGAAGTGTCGAACGCTCGCTGGCAGGAGGTCACTGGGCAGACCCAGGTGCCACGGGTCGACTGACCGAGATGACCGAAACGACTGGCTGATGCACCACCTGTGCCCCCTACTGTACCAACTTGCTGTACTTTAGCCACCCGGTGCTCCACTCGTTGTTGTGAGCGTCGCTCCTCTGCCCTCCGTTGTTGTTGGAGGGCGACTCCTCCAACTGCCCAGTAGCGTCCTTCACGAGCCTCCTCCACAGAGGCCGATCTTGACACCGCTGGTACCAGTCATTGGCAAGTCCACTCAGCTCCACGTCCTACTGTACCACATCACTTCATCTCTTCTCTAGCCCGTGCCGCGCCCGTTTAGCCCCCTCGATCCGGCTGAACAAAAGTTGTTTAGGCATGCGGTGGCTGGGCATGCGGGCTACATGACCCAGCCAACGCAGCCTTGCCTGCCGGAGCTCACCGATGGGACTTTGCCCAGATCTTTCAAGGATTTGTGAGCTCCTCAAACAATCCAGCCTGGTTAAACCCATGATGGATCGTATGCAGGCCAGCCTAAATGTTTCCAACCGGCGAAGATGCTCCATTAGGGGGGTCCACGTTTCGCAAGCGTAGAGAAGGGAGGGAATGACTGTGGCCGAGAAGACCTGAAGCTTCCACACAGCGTTACGCAACCGATGAAAAGATATTGCCGCTCGACTGATTCGGAGTGAGACCTCTGCTGTTAAACTGGAGCCGGTCATAAGCACACTGCCCAGGTATGGGAAACTCTCCACTCTCTCCACTACTGCCCCATCACCGATTGGGAGTTGTGGGAGTGGAGTGTCCGATGGTACAAAATACCCAGGCAGGTGCTTAGTTTTGGTGGGGCTGATGGTAAGGCGCCACCTCCTAGTGGCACGCTCCAGTCTCAGCAGCAGCGTCTCCAACTCCTCTTCTGAATGAGCAGCTATTACAAAATCATCGGCATACATAACGTGGTTGACCAATAGGAAGCCATCCCTTGATCGCACCCGGGCATCGATCAGCCTCCCATTATATCTGTACCAAATTGAAATTCCCCCGGTACAGCTATTGAAGGCTTCACGAACTACGCGGTCAAAATAGATGTTAAATAATGTGGGAGCCAGAGGACATCCCTGCCGCACCCCAAGGTGTACAGGGAAAGGCTCTGACTCACGGCCACGTAATTTTACCCGGGCCCGCTCATCATTATGAAGGTCCTTAATGATAGTGAGCAGAGGGTCATGGACTCCGAAAGCAGGAAGAACAACCCAGAGCCCAGGCCTACTGATGGTATCATAGGCCTTGACCAGGTCAATAAAGCAGAGATGTAGGTCTTCTTGGACAGAAAATACGGCATCTGTGCAGGACCACCCTTTCCTGAAACCGCATTGGGGCTCTGCAAGCCTCTCCTCAGTATGCCTAGCAAGGCGATGTTGAATAATCCTTGCCAGGACCTTTCCTGGCACACTGAGGAGTGAGATGCCCCTGTAGTTACATTGCGAGAGGGGGACCACCAGGGCATCCTTCCAATCCTGCGGAACCCATCCAGTGGTCCAGACTGTTGTTATGATGTCATATAGGGCAGTCTGTGCACAAACGCCACCCTCCCTCAGCATTTCGCTTGGGAGATAATCTCTGCCCGGTGCCTTTCCTGGTCTCAGACTCCGGATCGCCCTATACACACACACATTTACACACACTCACATATCGTTGAATACTCACTTGTAAGCCGAATTCACTGCTTCATGGAGGAACAAGACTGTTATTATTTTTTTACTTTTTCAGGGCAATAACACCTGTCCTTCAAACCTTTGATGCAACCCAAATGCACCACCACTATGGGGGCAGTGAAGATTATATAGCAAGGTGTGGCTTAGAGAGGTAGGCGGAGACTATAAGGTTAAGCTCAAAAGGACTTTACAAATAATATCTCAACCAACTCGTGAAAAATACTGCCATTAAACCATTCAATAGGCAACATTTCAAGCAATGGCTCCTGATCGTCGTAGAGCTACAGAAGCCCGAGATTGAAAACTAATTTCCTTGGCACTGATTTTTGCGTTTAGTTTTTTGTTCTTCCTCTGCTCCTTCGATTAGCGTAATTTATGTACCATGCGAAATAAGTTCAACGTACATACGAGTAATAATGAATTCGTCACGAAGTAAACTGGGTATTTCTGAAATCCAGGTATCCCTCTATTTACGAACCTTCGGTTTACGAAACTCCACGTTTACGCAATGGACAAATTATGGACACTTTTATTATTGAATTTCCGCTTGAACGATATTTCACACGGAATGTGCCATCAGATCAAACAAGATAACATCTCGCTGCCGTGGCCAAATATATCCCGGGTAAGGCCCCTCGAGCTAAGAAGCTATTTTTTTCAAAGGGGCGACTCGGCCGGCAGACAACACCAGACATTCCACAAATACACTCACTCGCCCACCCACACATCGCCCACCCACACACCGCCCACTGGCCCATTCACTCACCCACACACTCAACTCACGATAAAAAAGTTGATTCGTAAAAGGTGTGGCTCCGAAACTACGTGGTCAACAATGGTAACTCACAAGGAAGTAAGTCTGACATTTTTTATTTGCATTCACTAGATCTGTCACTGTTGAGATGCTAGCTTAGGGTCATGTGTCAGGGTGTGAGTCTCCGAAAGGGGTTGGTCCAACATAGCCGAATCAGAGAGACACACAGAGCCAGCACCGTTGAGATCGCACACAGCTCTCGAGTTCCGTCAGAGTTTCGTTGTCGAGACTCCGGCGGCCGCGAGCGATGGAGCTCACAGTGAAATTCCTCTGCGCGCTCGTCTTTTTTTTGGTCACGTTCTACTTCTCAGAGGTGAGCCGAGTGACCCAGTGCACGTGTTTTGTTCCAGTGTGTGTGGCCCTGTGTGTGTGTCTCAGCGTGTGTGTCCCTGTGTGTGGTGACGTCTCCGCCACTTAGTGGCGAATGGCAGTTGTTGTTGTGTCTCTGTTTGTGTTATTCGTGCTTTCGGAGACCCTGTTGTTGTGTTTAGTTTGTTGTCCTTCACCGGCACCTCCAATTAGCACGGTTGGCTGCATATGTTGCAAAAGAAGTTCAAGATAAAGTACATATAAACATTGATGATGCCTTGCAACATGTGTGTAATTGGTTCATGACCAGCTCCGATTTGGTAGTGGAAACCTCACTTTGAATCATGAAAGTAACATCGTAGTTTCATTGGCTGCATAGTAACACTTTGTTTTGTCTTTCCCTGTGAAGGTTCTGGTGCAAGCTCCATCCCTAGACGACAAGTATTGCCCCCCAGGGAAATATAGTGCCAAGACTGGTGTGTGCTGCAATATGTGTACGGCAGGTAAATATGTCGGTACAAGCGCACAATGTGAATTATGGTTTACCTGCTTGGGCAAGTTTATTTGGGGGGGCATGATGGCAAGATGTTAACTACCTCGCCTGCTATACAGGAGGTCGTGGTGTTCGATCCCGACCCTGATGCCTGTTGCATATTTGGAGTTTGCATGTTCTCCTCGTCATCGCGTTAATTTTTATCTGGCTCCTGCGTTTTTCTCCTTCTACATCTAGAAACGTGCGTTTAGAGTATGTGGCTGCTGAAAATGTCCACATGATAAGCCACTTCATTGAGCTATAATTTGTGTCCAGGCTGCTTTTGAACCTGAGCTACAAAGCTCAGTGGGCCTTACCTGGTGAAATAAAAATAGTTTAGTTGTTTTTTCGTAGTTTTTCGTAAAAATTGTTAATGTTTTTTCCCAAAAGTATTTTTATTGAGCAAACGATTCGGGTACACACAGTGGAGCATGCTTGGAAATTTCCACCAGTATTATAGACATAATTCGATGGACAATGATTATTACTCGTAATAAAGTTTTTTAGTTAGATTGCGTACTTAAAAATATGTCGTTAACCCACCACCTGACAGAGCCAATTAGTAAGGTTTGTCATGCAAACAAAACATTCCACTTAGTTACTGCTTCAGCATACCAGTTGTGTGTTGGAAAGTAAACCCATTTACAATTTGAGTACTGTGACGTTTCGCTGGTGATCACAACCAGCTTCTTCGGACAATTTGCCAGAATTAATCTTACTAATGTCCTTTATCGGGTGGTCATGGTGGGTTAACGACACATTAATATTTACGCGATATAACCCAAAAAACACTTTTTATATTAATAATATTGTTCGCGAAAGCCTACGTGGTAAAATGGTGATTACCAACGTAAATGAGATAACCCTTTAGGGCAGCACCTTTACGTTTTATACTACAGACGCCAAGAAAGTGCAGCAGCACTTAATTTGCAATAACTTCGGCTCAAATAACAATACAACCCCAAGCACGTTAAAGAGGCATTCAACCAGCATCATGTTTTGCCTGCCTCGTTTCTATTGCTGGCTGGTGTTGTCCCGTCTGATTTGTCTTGTTCGTTGGTGTTGTTCTGTCTCGTTTGTATTGTTCATTGGTGATGTTCTGTCTCGTTTGTGCAGTTTTGTTTCCTCAATAAAGAAAGAAATCCCCGTAATATTTGCATCTAATGTTTTGTATGTAAACAAATAAACCATTTATTTAAGTCCACTGTCGGATGAGGGCCTCACCAAAACCGCGTGTACCGTGGGGGTTATTTGACAAAACCTCATCAGACTGGCCAGTGCGGCTTGGTGAAGACAGGGAACATAGGTAGTGCAGCGCAACATTGGAGTTTTCTGCATTGCCCTGTATTGCACAACATACAGCCTCACAGCCACCCAAGATTAACACTGCTTAGCGTCTAAAGGATCCGAAGAGATCGGACACATTGCACGTGGTTTAGTCATTGGCCAGTTCCATATAATAGGGTACCATGGAGATGTTACCTCCCTCACCTAGTATGGAGAAGGTCGTGGGTTCTATCCGGACCCTGACGCCTGTTGTATATTGGGAGTTTGCATGTCTCTCTCCCCGTGATCGCGTGGATTTTTCTCCGGGTCCTCCAGTTCCTCCTTGTACATCTAGAAACATGCGTTTAGAGTATTTGGCTGCTATACATTTCCACATGACAAGCCACTTCGTTGAGATATCATTTGTTATAGCCTGGTCGCTTTTGAAAAAGAGCTACATAGCTGAGTGGGCATTACCTGGTAAAAGACAAATAGTAAGTGTTTTTTCGTAAAAATAGTTCAAGTTTTTCTCTAAAAGTGTTTTTTTATTGAGCAAACGATTTGGGTACACACATGTCTGGGAATTGGCACCAGTAATATTGACACAATGCGATGAAAAATTATTTTTTACCCATAATAACGTTTTTTTGTTTGATTGCAGTAATAAAAATGCGTCCTTAAACCATCACCACCCGACACAGCCAATTAGTAAGGTTTGTCATGTAAACAAAATATGCCAATTAGTTACTACTTCAGCATATCGGTTGTGTGTTGGAAAGTAAACCCATTTACAATTTGAGTATGACGTTTCACTGGTGATCATAACCAGCTTCATCGGGCAATTTGCCAGAATTAACCTCACTAATTGGCTGTGTTGGGTAGTGGTGGTGGGTTAACGACACATTTAAATTTACGTTATCTAATCCAAATTTGTATTAATGAATAATGTTGGTCGCCAAAGCCTACGTGTTAAAATGATGATTACCAACGTTTTATATTTTTAACCTGTCTATTTGAGTCAATAAATTCTTCCCTAGTGTCAACTTCCTTAACTGAGCTAATCCTCTAGGGCATTGGCTCTCAGAGTGTGGTCGCAAAACCTCCTCCAGGAGGTCCGCCATGGCTGTGATGCCAACCGCAGGTTCAAAATCAAAACCAGATTATTTTATTCATACGAGAGGAATTCTACGAGCGATACATCTCTTTTCACAGACGTCCATTAGGTTGATCAGAAAAATATAACAACGTTTATACCTTTTGCTTAGACATTCATTCATATTTTACTTGTGATATTTAATTACAAAAAATAGTCAGGTAAACTTCCCTGATTAAACTACCCGAACCCCAAGATGTAAATGACCGCGTAAAAAAAATAAACATTATAACTGCGTAAAAAAAAAAGTGTTTACGTTCCGATAATATGAATCATGTAGTATTACTATTCGGATTTAAAGAAAAAAGTGAGTGAGGTTTGTCATGGGCTACACAAGTTTGGGAAACGCTCCTCTAGACTAAAACTAACAACGAAAAATGCTTACTTTATAATTTACCGGGTAAGGCCCAATGAGACTATGTAGCTCATTTTCAGAAGGAACCTGGCTATCACAAATGATAAACTCAACGAAGTGGCTTATCATCATGTGGATATTTATAGCAGGACAATAGTAGAAATGCTTGATGTTGATTCTAAATGTGGAGGGAAAAACCGAAGGACCTGAAGAAAAACCCACACGACCACAGGAAGAACAAACTCCAAATATAAAGCAGGCGTCAGGGTTGCGATCGAACCCACAACCTCCTGCATATCAGGTGAGGTAGTTAAGATCTCCGCCTGATTGAGCCACTTTGTTGAGCTATCATTTGTGGTCAGGCCCCTCATGAAAAAAATACTAATAGCTCAGTGGGCCTTACCTGATAACATAAAAATTCGTTAATTTTAAGTCAATTTATTTTTCGAGATGTACTTACCTTTCCGATAGTTTTCACTTCTATAGCGTTTTTGCATTGGTGGTTAATAATTCTCATTATTGCTTCATTCAATCACTCATTCCCTCCAGAACCAACGCACTCGTCTCTCTGACGCTCTCTTATGACCTCCTGGCCCAGCCGTTTCTTGGGACGCCGTTGCTAGGCTGACGATGTGTCCTCCACATACCCAGATACGAATATGCTTTCAAAACGATACCAAATTATATTTTTTAAACACATGGATTTGTCTAAACCAACCACCAAACTGGGGGTGGGATGTGTATGTATACACAGTTTATATACAGCTTATATATTGTATCCAATAGATCCTCATGCATGTATCGTGAGCTTAATGATTAACTCATTTTATTTATATTCGCCATTCTGTGCCTTGGTTCCGTGCATTTAAGTTTATGATTAGAAAAAATATTGTGTTTAACGCTCAGCATGGTTGGCTACGTACGGTGCGTAATAAGTTCGACATGCGTACATACAAACGAAAGGGGTTGGCTCTCTTATACCTCATTCATCTGCTGAAACCTTATGCACCTGTGTGGCGATGTTACTCAAAATAATTCAGCCACCTGTGTGTGCCTTGGACAAACCTGCGCTCAATGGGCGACATGCGCTGTGAAGTCCTTTTTGACAGAAGGAACACGGGGTCAGAAAGTGACCACAACAAACAATACAAACAATACAAACAAACTAACGATAGGAGTGCAACGTATAGGAAAGGTAAGCAAATCACTACATACGTAAAATAGATCAAGTATATAAGTTCAAATTGCAGAAGTTCATCATTGCTGAAGCTTGGGTAATGCAGCAAAACAAGAGCAAGACCAGCCCCAGACCACACCAAGACAACACATAGTCCCTCAATAAAAGTGCACTTTAAAATGTAACAATCAATACATGGTTAAGAATGAAATAACATTTTAGGTTTCATTTCAAAACATCTGTTTTCACTTACATACGCGTCTGTGTAGGTTACGTGCCTTTTACTAAACTATTTAGCTATTTCATGGGGCCTCCTGATGTAGATGCTCACCCCGAGCTCTCAATACTCTGATAGTTGCGTTGTCTTTGGGCTGTACGCCTTTTGGCGTCCTCTGGTCTAACACCATCCTCTAGTCTAACACCGTTTGAGACTAGGCTCCAAAGAAAGCTGTCTCTGGTGTGGACCAATCAGTTTCAAAGACAATGCATATATTATCAGAGTATGTTTTTTTTTGCATTCTGACCACAAGTCTTGTGGTTAATGCAGACATGGTTCCTTGTCAAAGGTTTCAGTTTGGTGTTTTAAAATCTTAACACATGTTTTGTTGCCAGAAAAAAAGGGGAAAACCTATTCCCAGTTTTTGTTGTTGTCGAAATTTCTACTCAAATTGACATTCCTCATAGTGACAGTGTGGGCAGACAAAGGTGTTTTTGTGACGAACTTCATACCTCGGTGCTAAATTGTACCCTGTACTTTTTGTACATAATGCATTCTACCAGCCTCGTCGTATTATTCTTGTTAGTTTATACGATGTTGACACACGGCATTGCCATTGGAAACTTGACCACGTACACAGTCGTATGTGCCTTGTTGTTTTTGTTGTTGTTCGTATTTATAGTTGTAACAAAACACTCATTACACACAGAGTGTCTGCTACAAATGAACCACAATACCTCGCTCATCTCGTCAAGGAGGATAAACCATCATCACGTGCACTCCGGTCATCCTCACAGTAGCAGTGGCTTTTGGCTGGCCATCGAACAAAGTCGGCCACTGCATCACGCGCTTTCAGATGCGCTTCTGCAGCCATCTGGAACGCTCTTCTTTACGATAGTAGGAGCTATGCCCTTTTAAATCATCTCGATTGAAAACTAATTTCTTTAGAGCTGCTTTTTTGTGCTTAGTTTGTTGTCCTTCGGTTGGCTACGTAAGGTGCGAAAGAAGTTCAACACAACATAATACATAACCAGGTTTCTCTTGTATAACCAGTTCCCCATCGATAAGCCATTCATTGTCCAGTGGGTTTTACCTGTGGCAAAACATACCACACCTATAAATCACGCCAGCTTTAAATTATCTCACAGCACTTGCCCCCACAAGTCCGTGTATGCTGTTGGCAATCGTCGACTTTGATGAAGTAATTCCTAACCTTACTTGGGCATAAACGCCATTGCTCAAGTCTTAGAGAATAAATAGCTTAAATCACTTCCTGGTGTGGCGTTGTAAGCATCAGCACAGGTGAAATAAAAGTGTGCTCTTGGCTCATCATTGCCTTGCAATTCAATGTACAGTATAACACAACATCATCATTAGCAATGTTATGGCAACTTCATAAATACGCAAATTATATGTATTCGCGTAAAACAATATTTCAAAATCAGAATTCTGATTCATTATGGAGAAATCCGATTAGCCATGAAGCTCTTTTTCACAGATGTCCAGTAGGGGCACGGGTCACAGACTTACAACAACAAACAACACACAAACGATAGGAGTGCAAATTATAGGAAAGGTAAGCAAATCACTGTAAATAGACATAGACTCAACTTCACTGAGCTATTCGTAATTTTTAAAGAAGCAACCTGGCCACAAATTATAGCTCAACGAAGTGACTTGTCGTCATGTGGAAATTTATAGCAGCCAAATAATCAACATCCCATCAGCCACATAGCCTTCTGGGAGTGAAAAAATTCAACAGCATTGGTTGAACACAAGGAAACTTTGGAGTGGTTTCGGCACAGTGCAATGCCTGTAAAGACGTGTATGTATGTTGAACTTCTTTCGCACAATACGTAGCCAACCGTACAAATCGGAGGTGCGATAAGCACGGTTGATAGTTCACCAGCATTTTTTGCTGCATGGGTATGCTTTGACATTGAACAGCGAATTGATTGAGAGAGCACTGTGGAATGTCAAAGTTACCCAACTATGAAGCTGTCAAGTGTCCACATTGCAGGGGAGAAGGAATGATAACATCACAATGGCCTGGCTTAGTTACACTCAGTCATGTCACTCACACATTATTTTTAAAGAAAACAAATACATTGTTTGTTTGTCTTCTCCAAATATATTCGGATTGTGCAATCGGCGTCATGTCATAGCCAACACGGTGGCGTGTAGCGTAGTATATCGATGTTAGCAACTCACTACTCTACGGGACGTCTGGCAAAAAACATTACCAAGCTGCAACGTGTACAAACCTCTTTGGCACGTGTCGAGACAGGTACTGCAAAATCCGACCGTGTCCGTCCAGTGCTCGCCGAGTTGCATTGGCTTCAGGTCGCCGATCAAATACATTACACATAAAATGCTTGCCACTAATTAGCCACAATACCTTGCTGATCTTGTCCAGGAGCATATACCATCACGCAAACTCCGGTCACCATCGCAGCTGCCTTTGGACATCTATGAAAAAGAGCTTCATAGCTCATCAGATTCCTCAGTAAAAAATAAAATATTCTAATTCTGATTGCTGCCTTTAGGCACCCTAACGCAACGGTTCTCAACCGGGGGTACGGCGGACCCCTGGGGGCACGTGAGGTGATTTATAAATATGTGAAATTATATCATACATGAGAGTCATTGGTGAATAATCATGTATTAATCTGCCAATATAAAATATTATATTTAAATCCATATGGTAACCTGGAACGATATATAAAATACATTCCTTGATCGTAAACAATGTGGTTTGCAATAGTAGCCGGCGAGCGTGAACAAATTACGTCACGCACCGAGCAGCTTGTTAGGGTATACCTCAAACAATTGGCAATTCTTTAAAATATCGATGTTCATTATTAGTAGATTTTTTTCTCAGAACCAAAGTTGGGTCAGGCAAGGGGGGTACTCGGTTGAAACAAAATTCAACAAGGGGGTACACCAGTAGCCAAAACAGGTTGAGAACCACTGCTCTAACATGTACAGGGGTGTATGCAAGTGGTGGCCGATACACTAAGCGCTGTGATCCATTTTAGTGGAACTCAGCGGGCTCTGTTATCCACCAGAACGTTATGATCAACAATTACCCGGTTTTAATGCTGTAATGTCCAGGATTTCAGCTACTTTGCTTATAAACCTAGATTCTCCCCTAAGTACGAATCATTTTTGTTTTGTTCTCCCGTCCTGCCACAATGTAGAGCACACGGAAGTACACAGTAACCAACGCGCAATTAAAGCGTATGACATGAAACCTTGCCATCATTTGTATGTATGTTTAACTTCTTTCGCACCGTACGTAACCAACCGCGCTCATTGGAGGTGTGCGGGAAGGTCAACAAAATAAACACAACAACAATCACTTCTAATAAAGTGAGTTAGTGAAATGAGAAATTAATTTTTGGCGAGTCTTGTAACCTGGTAACAAGGTTTCCATTAAAAATACATAAGAAATATTGTTTCACTTCGTCAAGTACCCCGTTTTGTATTGCTTAAAAACAAGTTAATCCTGAAATGTAAATCGCATTCACTGATTGCATCATTTGGGCCAAATTATAATATTTGGTTAAGATTTAGTTCATGGTATACGTTTTGAATATTTGGATGCTATATATTTCCACACGATAAGCCACTTTGGTGAGCTATCATCACGTGTGGCCAGGTCGCTTCTGAAAAAGACCTACATAGCTCAGTGGGCCTTAACTGCTGAAATAAAAAGTTTTAGTTTCAATTAATAATTGTAACAAAAATGTGTCTCTTTGCCTTCCAAAACACCCTAATTCTGTTTTACACAGGGAAGTTTGTCATAAGTGAGTGCACATCCAGCGGTGAAGATTCAGTTTGCGGTTCCTGCGTGGAGGGTGAAACGTTCACGGAAGAACATAACCACTTAGCAGACTGCCACGATTGCAGCTCCTGCAGTGATGGTGAGTGCAACAGGTGTGCTAGTTCATTTGTATGGTGAGCCATTGCTGGGCGCCACGGTGGCTGTCGCCTGATGAAGCTAGTGGTAATTACTGGCGAAACGTCGTACTCAGATTGTGAATGTTGTGGCTTGGCTCTCCAACTCACCGGTGTGCTGTACTGGTGACGAATTGGCATGTTCTGTTTTCGTGACAACCCTTACTAGTTGGCTGTGTCGGGTGGTGGCGGGTTTTAACGACACTTTTATATAGTAGTAGGTTTTTACCCTTTAAACTGGTACAAAACTGACACCTTTGTACAAGGCATCATGTTTGCAATAACCACAACACAAGTAGTCAAAATGCAAACAAAAAGAAACAAATCTGATAATGGTAATGATATGCACCGTCCTTGAAGTTGATTGGTCCACACCCGAGACAGCTTTCCTTAGAGCCTAGTCTCCATTGGTGTTGGACCAGATTACACCAAAAGGCGTACAACTCAAAAACAGCGCACTATCAGAGTCGTGAGAGCTCGGGGTAAGCATTTACACTATGAGATCTCCTTTACCAGTGGAAAAATATAGTAGTAGGTTTTTACCCTTTAAACTGGTACAAAACTGACACCTTTGTGCAAGGCATCATGTTTGCAATAACCACAACACAAGTAGTCAAAATGCAAACAAAAAGAAGCAAGTGGTGGCCGATACACCACTTCAAGGACAGTGCATATCATTATCATTATCAGAGTTGTTTCTTTTTGTTTGCATTTTGACTACTTGTGTTGTGGTTATTGCAAACATGATGCCTTGTACAAAGGTGTCAGTTTTGTACCAGTTTAAAGGGTAAAAACCTACTACTATATTTTGCCACTGGTAAAGGAGGTCTCATAGTGACACTTTTATATATTTAAGCAATCTAACCCAAAAACCTCTATTATGGATTTTACCTGGTATATAGAAAGTCGTGGATTCGATCCCGACCGTGACGATGCCTCCTGTATATGTGGACTTTGCATGTTCTTCCCGTGGTGGTCACGTGGATCGTTTTCTTGGTCCTTCAGTTTTCCCCTCCATATTTGGTTTTAGAGTATTTGGCTGCTATAAACTAAACTATCAAACTAAACAATTTATATTTTACCAGATAAGGTCTCTGAGATATACAGATATTTTTAACAAGTGACCTGGCCACAAATGATATCTCAATGAAGTAGCTTATCACGTGGAAATTTATAGCAGACAAATTATTTAAACGCGTGATATTGATTCAAAATGTATAGAACCCGGAGAAAAATCCACGCGACCAAGGGGAGAGTGGCAGGATGTCATGGGTTCGAGGTAGATAATATCTCGCCACCGCGGCAGCCTTAAAAATGTCCACGTAATAATCCACTTCGTTGAACTATCATTTGTGGCCAGGTCGCTTTTGAAAAAGAGTTACATAGCTCAGTGGGCCTTATTTGATGAAATACAAATTATAATTTATTTTGGTTTTAGTTGAGTAATGAGTCAATGTTATGGTGATCTCACAGCTCTCTCACACTCCAAGAGTCATTCTTGCGGGTTTAAACGATCTATTCAACAGCACGGATGCCTATGGGAAGATAAGAATAATACGTACATTTATTGAATGCTTTTCATCTCGGATCTCAAAGCGCTGTACAGGACAGCAGGAGCAGACACTTAAAAATAATGTCATGAATATATTTTCAAAATAATTTACTAAATTAACTAGGTCTGCATCCCCAGATCTAAGGGACCTTGAGGGGACATATGGGTGAAGCATGTCAATGATGTAGGCTGGGGCAAGGTGGTATCAGAACTTCCTGTGCACCATAAATAGCCACACGTGCTAATCGGACGTTTATATTTGGAGAAGCAGGGGAAAATAAGTGGTGATTTTTACTATTTTTTTGTAATCTGCAACAGGTGAAGAGGAGGTGCTTCCTTGTAAAAGCACACGTAACACTGTTTGCCAATGTAAGGAAGGCTATTACAGATCTACATACTCAGAGAAGTGTGAAAAGACAATGCCAGGACCAGGTAATGCTATCCGCGATGAAGAATTTGCTTTGTGTATTCGCTGAGATTCTTCAGCTCAGTTCAACATATGTTCCTTTATTATGGCCTTTTCATAATTAATAATTAACACAGAATATTGAGTATATTGGGTATATATAATATATTATACAATATAGTATGTATATATAAATATATTACATAATATACATTGCGTATATATTATACTAAATATACTCAATATCTACTTCTTTTTTGTTAATTATTCATTATAAAAAGGCCATAACTATGGAACCACCTCTAAACTATGGCTTTTTCTTTTATATGCCTTTAAAATCCGACCAGTGATCGCAGAGCTGCATTGGCTTCTGCCTGTCGAATAAATACATTATGGGGTGGAACTAATAACACACTAAGTGCTTGCCGCAATACAATACCTTGCTGATCTCGTCAAGGAGCATAAACCATGATTACTCGAACTCCGGTCATGCTCGCAGCGGCTTTTGGCTAATGACTGAGCAAAGACGGTTACCGCATTGCGCTCTTTTAGATACGCTTCTGCGGCCGTCTGGAACCTTCTTCCTTTCGATGTTAGGAAGCCACCGGAGCTATGCTTTTTTCAATCGAGTGTTTAGTTTTATTGTTATTCCCTCGCACCTCCAATAATTATCACAGTTGGCTACGTACAGTGCCAAAGAAGTTCAACATAATACAACATTATCAAATAAAAGTGGGAGTCACTCCACCCTTGGTATATTATATGTTTTCGCCTCGCTATGTTCTGCACACGTGAGTTCCCTGAGTGATTTCATACAATTTTCACCCCTGTAAATAACCACCCGTTATCATCACTTTTCCACAGTCCTTTTTAAACGATCCTGTAAAGCCAGAGTGGACAACCATTTCTTTATTGAGGGTCGAATTGGGCTTTTAAATACATTTGGTGCAGGGGGAAGGACACAAACTAAGCACAAAAAGCAGTTCCAAAGAAATTGGTTTTCAATTTAGATTGAATAATTTAACAGTGCTCCCAGTGGCTTCCTAATATCGGAAGGAAGTGCGTTCCAGGCGGCAGCAGAAGCGCATCTGAAATCACGCAATGCAGTCTCCGTCTTTGTTCGATGGTCAGCCAAAATCCGCAGATGCTGCGAGGATGACCATAGTTTGTGTGATGGTTTAAGCTCATTGATGAGTAATCGATATTGTAATAGATATGTTGTTAAGTGTTAAATCATGAAAACTAACATTTGTTGTTTTCTTCTTCCAGGTTGGATGGTCGTTGGTCTAATTATTACATTGATTTTGATCATTATTTCTTTAATTCTCTTATTGTGTTATTTTTATCGAAAATGGAGAGGCAAAGGTATTAACCACCACACCAATAATGCTGATTATACCACGGCTTAATTATAAATCAGTTTGAAACAAAACAACATTTAGGACACTGTGTGTCATGAAAGGTTATTAAGGTCCACGCATTAAAATAAATTAAACTAAGCTTTTTTTATTTTACCAGCTAAGACCCACTGCGCTCTACAGCTATTTTTCAGAAGCAAACTGGCTGTCATAAATTGTAGCTTAATGAAGTGGCTTATCACGTGGAAACGTATTGTGGTCAAATACTCTAAACGCACATTGATTCTAAAAACCTGAGGACCTGGAGAAAAATCCACACGACCACGGGGAGAGAGACATGCAAACTCCAAATATACAACAGGTGTCAGGGTCGGGATCGAACCCACGACCTCCTGTATGCCAGACGAGGTAGTTCACAGCAAGGGGAAGAGTGATTAAGGGTTGTGGAATAAAAAGTACGGAGACACGCGACACTCTCACTCACAATCTTCTTGAGCAGAAAACTGAGTTTGGCAAAGAGGGGTGGTCGTCTGGGCTTTTCAGGGAGGCAACACGCTGCAGATCAGAGGGTGCTTGAAGCACTTGCAGAGGCGCTACACACATAATCATAATAATAAGATGCCCTCTCAAGAGTAGCAGACACGTCCAAGAAGCTGGGTTCTCATCCAGTAGAGCTCCCAGTAGTGATTCTTGAAGTTCAACTCCATGCAACTGCACAGAGTCCCGCTTGGGTTTTGAGTCCAGACAAACCCGAGTGGTGTTGTCTGAGGTTTATGGAGCAGGTTCCAGGCGTGGGCTCTCTACTCTTCCAAGAGATGGTCTCTGTGCTGTGCCTTTGCCACACCCCAATAACCCCACCCATTTGGGAAACTACTCAGGATTTTGTCCTAAACAAGTCTTAGTTCTATGTGCGCAAAAAAATAATACGGGAAAACATTGATAATTTCTCATACCATACTATATTGCATCCTATACTGCCTCATGCAAAATGTCACGTGTATTTCTGGTACATCGTCACAGGAGTTCTCATTATCCGTTAATGAAGATAGCAGCCATAGAAGTTTCAAACTCATAAGATTGGCGGTTTACTAGTTTGTTGTCCTCCCCATGCACCTACAATTAGCACTGTTGGCTACATATGGTGTGAAAGAAGTTATACACACACATACAACACATAATAGTGCATTCGCAGGATTTACGAGCTCACAAATACCAGTGAAATGGGGATTGACCAATTTATATATGAGGTTAAGAACTTTATGATTTGAGTAAAGTTTATCTTAAAATGTATCCTCGTCCTCAAGTTTTCCCTCATTTAGAATTAACGTCAGGCGTACAGAGTATTTGGCTGCTCCTATAAATCTCCACGTGATGATAAGCCACTTTGTTGAGCTGATATCATTTGTGGCCGGGTCGCTCCTGAAAAGAGCTACATAGCTCAGTTGGCCTTACCTGATAAAATAAAAACATGTCCATTTATATCGTTCTTTAGATACGTCCAGTGCTCACTGAGCTGCATTGGCTTCCGGTTGCCATACGAATACATTATAAGGTCCCACTCATCACACACTACTTTGCCTGGTATGCAGGAGGGCGAGGGCTCGATCCCGACCCTGACGCCTGTTGTATATTTGGAGTTTGCATGTTCTCCCTGTGGTCACATGGATTTTTCTCCGGGTCCTCCAGTTTTTTCCTCCACATTTAGAATCAACATCACGCGTTTCGAGTCTTTGGCTGCTATATATTTCCACGTGATGATGATAAGCCACTTTGTTGAGCTATTATTTTCGATGCCGAGGTTACTTTGGAAAAAGAGCTATGTAGCTCAGTGGGCCTTACACATGTAAAATAACAAGTAGTTTTTAGTTCATGAGGCCGGCTCATTATGGTTCTGGACTTCTACGCCTCCATGTCGACGCTTCCCGCCTTTACAAAACCCCCAACGTCGACCAGTGTGGTGAAGAAAGTTAAATTAATCCGCCCCCCATGATCCAGACAGTGTGGGCAGCCTTGATCCAGCAGTGGATTGCCAATAGAGCGGTACATGAAAACTCTTAATTTTTTTCACGCAATTTTTTTTTCATTTTGTCGTTCACTACCGCACTGCTTACCAAGTTTTTGTATCTCTCATTTGTATGGATACCCAACCGTGGGAAGTTTCAAATGGTAGGGATTATACAGGAGTCTCTCTGATTGATGAACTTTTCTATGTGAGTATACTTTTTTTTTAAACCTGTTTTTATAACTAAACCGTTTAAGATTAAACAAGTTATGAATCTGGAAAAAGAACTGAACGTATAACTGAAATACTTTCCAAAGATGCACGACAAATTCTGTCGTAAATCAGTCTGATTCATTGTGTTTATGACTATACAGTAGTTCGAAGTAACATTACAATAAAAAATTAAAAGCTCCTGTAAATGCATACACCCTACGTCAGCGTTAAAGATAATGGAGTGTGTATCAAAATCACCGTTAACTTTAAATTAATGTTGAATTTCACGCCCTGGAACTGTATTGTTCATTGAAAAGTGACAAATTTGGAGAGTACATTATGAAAAGATCTAAGAATGTATCTGGACCATTGCTCTGACCATGGGCACAATAGAAATGCAGCACCTGCTAAATTGGCAAAAAGGCATTAACACGCCACTATAACTGTGGCAATACTACATTTAAATTCAGGTTGGCTACGTATGGTGCGAAATAAGATAAAACAAATACCTCTATTTTTTATCATACACAAGTATAATTGTTTCTTTTCGGATGATCACAGGATGGACACTGGACGTCTAGACAGAAACTGATTTACAGGAACAGAAAAATGCTGCAGAGCTGCATTGGCAAAAACCCTCAACACCTCCTCGATGAACTGGACATCCAAGGGACCATCTCTCACAGCGTCTACCGAGAGGTCCAGTGCACTCGCACCGTCTCTGACCGTGCGGCAAATCTGATCCAACATTTTCTGAACGACGGCGAGACGGCCTGCCAGAACCTCTTAGACGGCCTCCACGCAACCGGAGACAAGTATCCGGGCCTTGCGGACTGGCTGGTCTCCCTCGGTATGTAGCTGCATTGTGGATCATGACATACAATTGCCCTTCTGCCCTCACCTCCGATAAGCACGGTTGTTTACTACGTACGGTGTGAAAGAAGTTCAACATATATACTACACTATGCATTGCTATACACTACACTATACACTGCACTACACACTACACTATATACTACAATATGCTAATATACTAAATAGAAAACGAATTTCTTTCTAAATGCACTTTGTGTGTAGTTTGTTTTCCTTCCCCCGTACCTCCGATTAGCATGGATGATACATACGGTGCGATACATTTTAAACATACATACATGGTTGCGGTGGGTTTTTCATGGACTACTTTAGAATCCGAATATTTATGCTGGAGGAATCTGAAGAATTATTTAGATTTTTTTCCAGATGTCCAGTAGGAGCACGGGGTCAGAAAGTTACAATAACAAACAATAAAAAGGAAAGGAAGGCGTGCAAAGTATAGGAAAGTTAAACAAATCACGAAAAACAATATGTCCAAGGAGTTATCAAAGCCTTCTCCAAGTTTGCACACATATAGGACGTAAATCTATATTGTCTAATATGAAAAAATTCTAATCTTACATGTTTTATTTCTGTGTGTCCTGACAGAACGTAAATCCATTGTGGTCGTTGAAGGAAGAAATATGCGTCTCGTCCGCAGAAATAAACTTAATCTGAAGCTGTGGATCAGCGACGACCCAGACTCCCTCCTAGAGGAGCTGGAGAGAAAATTGATCATTCGGAAGGAAGTCTCCGACGAGGCCAAAAATCAGCGCAATTCTTTAGAAGCCACCGGGTTCCTACTCGACCACATTGTTAGCTGTGGGGAGGAGAGGTGTCGGGAATTCCTCGATGTGCTTAAAACCATACTCAGGTATCCAAAAGTTAACAAATGGATGAGCATCCTCGGTAAGTACATGAGTGTGTACGAGACCGCCATGGTGGCGAGATGTTACCCACCTCGCCTGGTATACAAGAAGTCGTGGGTTCAATCCCGACCATATGACGCCTTTTGTATATTTGGAGTGTGTATGTTTTTCCCATGGTCGGTTAATTTGTCTCCAGGGTTCTCTGGATTTTCTATCCACATTTTGATTCAAAGTACGTTTTATTTCTGACCTGATCCAGTTTTGCGATCCCCAAGATTGATCACGCCATCCTCATTTACACAACGTGTGCTCCTCTCTTGATTTAAACCCTTTCCCATTCCGATGACGTCCGTGTTCGTTATCAGAATAAAATAACGTGATTGGTACCGAGGCTCCCACAAGACCATATGGGACGATGTGTGGCACAGTTTTGCGCCAGTTATCATAGAGTGTGTTCTTGTCGCTACTGTTCTCTGCAGTGAGTAATGAAGTATTTAAAACAATGGTACTGCTATGCCTCTCTAAATAAAATTAATGCCGAATCGTTTGCATATTCTGAGATTTGGCGGTGAACGTGACACTCACCCTGAGACTTGCAGTCATCTCGGAACGGGAAAGGTTTAAGAGTCAAATGTTCAGACCTGTAACGTATATTGGAGGTAAATTAAAAAATATATATATATTGAAAGGTAAACTGCACTTTGCTAAGATAATGAGCAGATTTTCAATGCATTCTACCACGTAAACGGATAGATTTGACTTAAAACGTCCGTTATTGCAGGAATTCATATTCTTTGGTTCTTTCGATAAAGTCATGTAGATAGAAAAAATAACAAAAATCAAGTGAATAAAAAATACCACGACGTTTCGATCGCAACACAAACGGTCGTCATCAGGAAAAGGGGTTAGCCTCTAAAGGCAAACAGAGTATAAAGGTTTGGAGATGGGCGTAGCCCAAGTGTATCAGAAGCACTAGCAGCATGTATGGGCAGCATCACGTTAGGAGCAATACTTCTGCCAAGGCTGATCATTATTTTAATGCTGCTGTCTCACACGAAATTGATTTCTCTAAAACAATGGTACTTTGCAAGCCGACTGGCTATCAACAAAGATTCGTTCATGAAGCCATCCATGTATACAGACACAGACAATTTCAAACGAGAGGATGGTTATAGACTCAGCAATCATTGGAAAGATGGCATCAACCACTTTGGGTCAAGACTTTACTTGTTTTCTTGTCAATCAACCTCCACTGTCAACAGTGTGGTGTGTGGAGTCGGGTGCAATGATTTCCTGGCGGCCCTTTGCTGCATTGGCATTGCTGCTGCATTGGCATTGCTGCTGCATTGGCATTGCTGCTGCATTGACATTGCTGCTGCATTGGCATTGCTGCTGCATTGGCATTGCTGCTGCATTGGCATTGCTGCTGCATTGGCATTGCTGCTGCATTGACATTGTTGCTGCATTGGCATTGCTGCCCCGCACATGCTGCTGGTGTTGCTGATACACTTGGGCTACGCCCATCTCCAAACCTTTATAAACAGTTCGCCTTTAGAGGCTAACCCCTTTTCCTGATGATGACCGCTTGTGTTGCGATCGAAACGTCGTGGTATTTTTATATTCACTTTATTTGTATGATTTTTTTTCTATCTACGTGACTTTACCAAAAGAACCAAAGAATACACATAAACTGTTGTTGAAGCGGCAATGAAGCTAGGTCGCAGCAGCAGCTTTTGTCTGTCCATTGAACAAAGATGGTCACCACATTGCGTAATTTCAAATGCGCTTCTGCGGCCGTCGGGAACGCTCTTCCTTCTTATAATAGGAAGCCACTGGAGCAATGGACTTTACATTATTTATATTAATATCTATTTTTTTGGAACTGCTTAGTTTGATGTCCTTCCCACGCACCTCCGATTAGCGTGGTTCGCTATGTATGGTGCGATAGAAGTTCAACATAGATCATTCTTGTTTTCTCCCACGAGCAGTGGTTACCTTGCCATCGATTGTGGTGTAGTATCCAGAGTCCATTCCTGCTCCCCGGGCCGAGTTTTTCTGGATATTCATGACAGGTTTTGCAAGAACGGGGACCATGTGGCCTCTAAAGCCCACTTACTTTTTCTTAACGGTCAATGTGAAACAGAAGATTAGTGCTGGATTAAAGTCACATTGGCAAATGTGATTTATAACTTTGATCCTTACCTGTGTCGTAGTGATAGTTCACTGTCCACGTGCCATTTTATTGAGGGACTACTACTGCTGTGTAGTATCTTGGTGTGGTCTGGGACTGTTTTTGCTGTTGTTTTTGATGACTTGCCCAAGTTTGATGAATCGACTTATATAGAGTAATTAATATATTTGGAATGAATTCATATTCATTGACTTGCTTCCCTTTTCCTCTATTTTTCACTCCTATCGTGTTTTGTATTGCTTGCTGTTGTAACTTCCAGATCTGCCCATAATGTACATCTGTGAAAAAGAACATCATAGCTCATTGGATTGTTCCCTTAGCCTAAATAAAGATTCGTAATCTGTTATATTCCCTAATCCACGTGTTCCTCTACCTGTCCATTCTTCTTCATGTACTTTTTTATTTGTATCACTTGTCTATGTTTCTGACACATTTGCTTTGTACAATTTATGATGTTAACATAAAGTATCTAACATTATACTTTTACTTACCCAATAGAAATGAAGGCAGATCTTTACAGAGAAGAGAATAGTTTGCACCAAGGTAAGGTTACACCATCTTATTAAGAGAATAGACCCCTCAACACTGTGGGGCGCCACGGTGGGTAGGATATGTTAACTATCTCGCCTGGTATACAGGAGGTCGTGGGTTTGATCCCGACGCTGACACCTGCTGTGTATTTGGTATTTGCATTTCTCTCTCTCCCCCCCTGGTCGCGTGGATTTTATTCAGGTCTTCCTGTTTGTTCCTCCATATTTAGAATCGACATGCGTTCAAAGTGTTTTACTGTTATAAATCTCTACATGATAATCCACTTGATTGAACTATAATTTGTGGCCATATCGCTCCTGAAAAAAAGAGCGATAGAGCGCAGTGGGCTTTACCTGGTAATATATTTAGTTTTATTGTTTTTAGTTTAGATAGGTCTGTGTAAGTAGAAGTATATAAAATAAAGAGCCTACATTTTTAATTAAGTCAGGTTCTCGATGCGGCAGACTCACTTCTCTTTATGCAAGTCTACTGGCCACTCTTTCTGTACGGCTTCCTGAGACAAATTCGCATTGAGATGCTATGTTAATCCCATATTGTACGGTACTGCATTGTTTGCGAATACAACTTTCTTGCAGTTGAGAAGGCGAGGATTGTGGTCGTTGACGGCAATGCGCTATACATGATCCGTGGTAAAAAGCCTGAACTAAAGAAGTGGATTGGCAGTACGAGCTCCTCAGTTACTTTACTGGACAAGCTGAAGACGAGGCGACACATCTCAGAGCACGTCCACTCTAAAGCCGCGGGGATGGTCACAACGGATCAAGCCGGATTCCTGCTCGATCACTTCATCGATGGAGGAGAGAGGAAGTGTCATAGCCTGTTGGAGACACTCCAGGAGCTCAGAGAGCACTACCCACAAGTTGACAAGTGGCTGGATTCACTTGGTACAGGAACGCACTTGCACAATATTTAATATCAGTGCTAATTTATGTCGAATGTATGTTGAACTTATTTCGTACCGTATGTAGCCAAGCGTGCTATTCGGAAGTGCGGGGGAATGACAACAATTTAAACACATAAGCAGTTCTAAATAAATTTGTTCTCAATCTATACCACCCCATCTCTAATGAGATGAGGCGGTAATTCAGGTCATTTGGTTATGATATTCAATTCTAGATTTGAAGTTTTCGTGACTGCAAGGATTCATATTCTTAGGTTTTTTTCGGTAAAGTCACGTAGGTAAAACATTAAAATTAATAAAAGTAAAATAAAATAAAAATCACGACGTTTCGGAGGCAACACAGCTTCCGTCTTCAGGTGGAACCGTCAGAGCCACGACAGCTGTATCAAGTAAATGAGAGATTACAAGAGCTACCACTCCGTATATATATAATGGTTGGAAAGGGGGAAGGGCCAAGTACGGCACACTTTTTATTAATATGGTAAGGTGAGGCTTAAGAGGCTGAGCCTTTGTTATGGAGAGGTACGGTTTGTGACTAAGCCTGGCCTACATAACAATAGTGTGAAAAAAGAAACAACTAAACATGGTAAAACAAGCCTGGCTGTCTATCAATAACCTGTAATAGTTGTCTGTCAAATAAGATGGTCCAAATAAGTGTAGTTAAATCTTTTTTTGCATGGTTAATCACATCTTTCCAATGATTACTCAGTTTGTAACCATCATCACGGTTGAAATTATGGCTGTGTTTGTATATTTGTACTAGCTGTACTACCCGGCTTCGCCCGGGACTTGTATCCACCACGGCCGGCCGCCTTTGTCTCCCCAGTGGCGATGTTAATACGCTACAGCAGTTACTCGTTTTGCGGCTGAGTCCCTCCCTCACCACTCTCCCTCCCTCACCACTCTCCCTCCCTCACCACTCTCCCTCCCTCACCACTCACGCACGGCCGCCTTTGTCTCCCCAGTGGCGATGTTAATACGCCACACCAGTTACTCGTTTGAGGCTGAGTCGACCTAGGGGAGGTTCAAATAATCGTCAGCGGTGGTGGCCGTGAGCGGGAATGGAACTCGGTTCGCCGGGTTTGTAGCGCAGCGTAGCGTTAACCACTACACCCACCGCTCCTCACACACCACACACGCACAGACACACACACAGACACACACGCAGACACACACAGACAGACACACACACAGACACACAGACAGCACGCTAACCACTACACTACCGCTCCCCACACACCACACACGCACACACACAGAGACACACACAGACACACACACACAGACACACACACACAGACACAGACAGCACGCTAAGCACTACACTACCGTTCCCCCTACACAACACACGCGCGCGCGTCCATAGGTACACATACACGCGCTTGCTGCAGACACACACGACTTTCAGGGTGCGTACGGCAGTAAACGACTGAAATAATAAAGCGGCAATGCTGCGCAAGGAACGCCTTAGACCTGCAACACATTTGTGTAATGCGAGCGTAAACACACAAACACATACAAACACATACACACACATACATAGACACACACATACATACACACAAGCACATGCACACACGTTCATACACACATACATACAGACACGCAGACATACACATAAAGACATAGAAAAAAACCCACATACATACACACACACATACACACAAACACATACATACATACACACATACATAGAGACACACAGACATACACATAAACACATACACACATACACATGACCCGGCTTCGCCCGGGACTTGGATCCACGATGCCCGGCCGCCCATTTGTCTCCCCAGTGACGATGTTCACACACGACAGCAGTTACGCGTTTGAGGCTGAGTGGACCTAGGGGAGGGCCAGGTCCGTTTCAAATAATCGTCAGCGGTGGTGGGCGTGAGTTGGAATCGAACTGGGGTCGCTCAAGCAGCATAATGACTATTTGTACAAAGAACATATAAAGAATCGATTATAATAACCAGGCTACAGTCCACATTATAGACTGCCAGTACACGCAGTCAGCTTCATAAGCAGGCTAGAGTGTACATGATAGAGTGGCAGTACGCTCACCGAGCTTAATAAGCAGGCTACAGTGTACATGATAGACTGGCAGTACGCTGACCCAGCTTAGTGACTATTTGTACAGTGAACATTTAAGTAATCGATTGTTGGCGCGTTGGGTTTAAAAGTAATATTAATTGCACACATTGTGGTGGGGGTGGAGTGAAGAGTAGGAAAAACTTTGATGAATTTACCTCAGAGTGGCGTGGTGGGTGTCGAGGCCTAGTAGCGTGCAGAGCCTGCGGCCTCGCCAAAATTGGCCACCCGGCAGAGGCAGGGTACGGGTGGCGTTCCTTCCCCCCCCACCTCAGCGCGCCAACAATACTGTGTAATGGCTATTATTTAATTATTTACGGAGCCTATGAAAGTGGCGAAGGCGTGGCTAGCCGTTGGCAGGGGCAACCGCCGTCCAATGAAACTGCAGCCCTTGGCGAAGGCGTGGCTAGCCGTTGCCAGGTCCAATGAAAGCGGCGAAGGCGTCGCTAGCCGTTGCCAGGGGCAACCGCCGTCCAATGAAAGTGCGTATGGTCCGAAATCCACACACACACAGACGGACAGACAGACATTCACGATTTTATATATATAGATGGCTTCGTGTACAAACCTTTGATGGTAGCCAGGAGGTTTGCAGAGCACCTTGGTCTCGGAAAAGACAATTTCATGAGAGCCCACCGAGTTGTAGCAATGATCGGCAATGGCCGAAGAATCCACCAGAAGGAGCACAAGTCAGATCTGAAACACGGCAGAACTGATTCTTCGGCCGTTGCCGATCATTGCTACAACTCGGTGGGCTCTCATGAAATTGTATTTTCCGAGACCAAGGTGCTCTGCAAACCTCCTGGCTATCATCAAAGATTTGTACACGAAGCCATACAAATATACAAACACAGACATAATTTCAACCGTGATGATGGTTACAAAATGAGTAATCATTGGAAAGATGTGATTAACCATGCAAAAAAGATTTAACTACACTTATTTGGACCATCTTATTTGACAGACAACTATTAAAGGTTATTGATAGACAGCCAGGCTTGTTTTACCATGTTTAGTTGTTTATTTTTTCACACTATTGTTATGTAGGCCAGGCTTAGTCACAGACCGTATCTCTCCATAACAAAGGCTCAGCCTCTTAAGCCTCACCTTACCATATTAATAAAAAGTGTGCCGTACTTGGCCCTTCCCCCTCTCCAACCATTATATATACGGAGTGGTAGCTCTTGTAATCTCTCATTTACATGATACATCTGTTGTGGCTGTGACGGTTCCACCTGAAGACGGAAGCTTGTGTCGCCTCCGAAACGTCGTGATTTTTATTTTATTTTACTTTTATAAATTTTAATGTTTTACCTACGTGACTTTACCGAAAAAACCTAAGAATATGATATTCAAGTTTCATTTATTAGGTATAGCCCTGTGAGCCATGCGGCTCTTAAGTCAGGTGCAACCGCAACAAACAAAATATGAACACAGAACATCCCAAAGCGACGACGCACAACAGAAATATCCTAGAATAAACCAGAAAATATCGCCCCCAAAAAAGAACGTATTAAAACGCTGTGTGCAAAAATCACAATGTGGTGCAAGCCAACAACAACCATAAAACAATGTAGATTAATCATATGTTTTCTGCAGCCCCCACCCGGCCCTGCGCACCACAAACCCTCCCCCCTCCCCCCCCCTGAACTCCTGCAGCCACGATTCTACAAAACCCCAGCCCCCCCCCTTCCCGCCACAACAGCAGATCATTCTTTCTCACCTGATGATGGACTATTGTGTTGCGACCGAAATGTCGTGTTCTTTTATTATTATTTTCTATCTACGTGACTTTACCGAAAGAAACAGAGAGTAAGTATTCATAGGCAAGCTGGTATTGTAGTTGGCATATGATGACGTCATTTTTTACGACAAACCCCGCACCAGCGTGACGCGCAACAGTGTTGAATGTACCGCAGAAAACAACTCGCAGATCGTGGTTGTGAAAGAGGGGACGAGAGAGATAATCACCAGGAGCCACGATGATCTGAAACAGTGGATCGCCAAGGACCCCTGGGTCCTGCTGGATGAGCTGGACAGCAAGTGGTACATCCAGCGGCACGTCTACAACACGGCCAGAGACATCAAGGACAAGGGCGAGTGTGCCGCCTTCATTCTCGAGCACTTCATCAGCGGAGATGAGGAATACCAGAAGCTGCTGGTAGCTCTGAAAGCCGTGCATCGACATTACGATGATGCACTACGTACTTGGCTAAGCTCTCTAGGTAAGTGATGCTCTAGGTAAGTTTTTTAAACCATCACATGAACTCCGGTCGTCCTTGCAGCAGCGGCATTTGGCTGGCCATCGAACAAATATGGTCACAGCATCGCATGTTTCCAAATGCGCTCCTGCGACCTTCTGGAATGCTCTTCTTTCTGCTATTTAACAAGCCACTGGATCTATGCACTTTTAAATAATCTCGATTGACCAGAGGAAGTGTTAGACAAGAGGACGCCAGATAAAAGGGGAAAACCTACTCTCATTTGCAGAGAGTAGTTTCATTGCCAGGGTGAAGAGTAGAGGGGGAAGCAGACAGCTCTGTCTCGACCTCCTCCCCAACGAAAAACTCCCAGATCTTATTCCGTTTGTCATAACTGAGGCCGTGGGATGTGTGTATAGGATATTGCACATGTCTATGAATTGTCAGGAAAATTTAACTTTACTCATTACCCTAAATAGAATGTCTCGTTCAACTCTATCAAACGCATTTTCCCCATCCAGCATCAAGGCATGTGCGGCGAGATTGTGCCTGTTAGTAATCTCTGTTGTATTGACGAGGGTCCTGACGTTTTCAGCAGAGTCTCTTTTTTTGACGAAACCCGTCTGAGCTGTCCATATAATCGCTGGGAGAATCCTTTTCAGTCTATCAATTAAAGTTTTAGCTAATACCTTATAGTCTGCATTTAACAGAGATAGTGACCTCTAGCTATCCACCATATCTTCTGGGGAGCCTGCTGTTGTTTTTTCCAGGATTTTTTATAAGCATCCGTGCTCCCGTCTCCATAAGAGAACCTCTGATATGTACACTTTAAGTGTGTTCCATAATATTTGAGAAGAGAGGCAAGGATAGAGCAGAATGAATCTGAATACATTCCTCAGTTTCCTCTGTGATTTCTTAAACTGTTAATTGTCCTCTAAGAATCGACGGTCTAGTGATGAATAATTAGTCATTATCTGCTTTCGTGTGGTAACAGGGTCCTTGAGATAAGATAGTAATAATCGATTCTGGAAAGCATCTTATAGGTTCTAGAAATGTGAGTGAAAACTTTTTCAGTAGGGTGGAGGGTCCTCCAATGGTCTGTCAACTGGTGTTGAATGATTGGTTCAGTGAGTAGAAGCTGCTGTGCCGCGTTTTGGTCAGAAACAGGTGAGTGCGATTTATCAAGAACGAGATCTTTAACCAGTTTCCAATTTCCTCCTGCGAGAAGGTCCCCATTCCTTTTCTCAATCAGAGCCGTGATTAGAGTAACACTTTTGAATTGACTGGAGTGGGGGGTATAGACGTTCAAAAGGGTGACATCCTTGCCCGACAATTTTCCTACAAGATATATGTACCCCCTTCGGGGTCTAATGTGAGAATTTCTTGGGTCATTTATATCCTTTCATTAATGAGAATAGCTAATCCTCTCGTTGAGTGAGATGCGTTTCTTGCAGGAATGCAACATCAGCCTCATGCTTGCCTAAAACATGAGAAGGGTACGCTGTCTCATGATAGGGTGGTTCAGAGCGTTTACATTGAGGGAGACTTTTTAGTTTGATCATAGAGGGGGGTTTTCTTCAAAGTTACTGGGGGTCAGGAAAGCGCGATCCAGTGTGTGTTGTTAGTCATATTTATTGGCAGTCATTTCAGAGGGTGGAGGCTTGCTTTGGCTGTGGACCATCGCTGCATGAAATAAAAGGGATACAGGGGGATAAAATACAACCGAACTACGCACAGTCGAGTCCCACCCAAAAGAAAAACCCTTGGGTTCAAAATGTGGAGCCCCCAACAAAACCTTGGCTTTTGGTGAGACTCGAGTGCAGCACCTAACTTCGTATCTTAATTTAATAAACAGAATACAACCATCAATATAGGTCGATGGATAACAAAGTGATCTTGAAGAACAAATAAAGGCGCCCATTGCATCATCATTCTCAATGCTTTTGTAGGGCTGTTACAGAGGGGCTGTATGTGTAGGGCTGTATGCATAGGATCACACGGGTAACAAACACAGTGGGCGGGGCTCCGTGAGTACACGGGGAGGTGCCCGCAACGACGTCCGCACCGGGCGGCCTGGGGGGCTGCCCGGGGGGTTGTGATCCTCCGGGGGGTATAAATGGGGTTGAGCCGGAGAGCTCGGGGGGGAGTTTAGAGTAAAAGTAGGGAAGACAGAAGATCGACTAGCTAGAGCCCTGGACTCCCCTGGGACGCCGCCCTTGTCAGGGCCGCGCAGGACCGAGCCAGTGGCGTGGTCCCGTGAACCAGAGTTAGTACTCTGGGACTCCGGGTACCGTAGCCCGACTGACGAGTGTCTGGCCAGATAGCCTCCCCTAGCCCATTAGTGGAGGACCAGGAGGTAGGTCAGGGGTAGCTAGTAGAGTATTCCCAGCTATCCGGGTGAGGGGGCCGATACACCCCTCTAATATTGTATGTCCGCAGTGCGACTACTTGTACGAATAAACACGTGTGCCTTACAACGGTGTCCAAGCGTCATCAACGGTACTTCACTTTGAAGAAACAGGAGGACACAATGGGCGGGGGTTGTCAGGATGGGGTAGTAAACAGGCCCGAGCCCTTGATATTGTTGAGACTGGAGTCAAGGGAAAATGGAAGTGGTGAGGGAAGGGGCTCAAACAAAGAAATCTGAACATATGGTAATGATAAGAGAGCTTTGTATGTAGCTCTAATCAGGGGATAAGAGGAGTATGACAAGGGTTAAACAGGAAGGGAGAGAGCTGGATGTAGACTGAGGGATGAAGAACACGAAGTGGATTTGAGGGTATCCCGCTCTCCTGGGCATTAGCCCAGGATGACTCAGTTACTCCCTGCCTGGTCAACTAACTGAAGCAATGGGGCAGGCAAAGGGAGGTTATATGGGAGGAGACCTCTGATTGGGGGGAGAGGGGGCACCCGGAGGGGGCAGGGCTCACAAATCAGGGAGACTATGGGGAAAGGGACACAACACTGTACAGAAGTTGAGGTAGAAAAAGAGCGATTAGAGAACCGTACCAAGAGGGGGTAGAAGGGATAAGGGAGCAAGGGAGGGAAGGAAAAGATACACCGACAGGGTTTCAGATATGGAGCAATCAAATATGACGAGGCGAGGTATTAAGTGGGGGACAACAGAAGGTGGAGGATGTGGAAAGGGGCAGGAGGACAAAGGAGGGGAAATAGAGGTTGGAGTAGATGGACAAAAAGACTGAATCCGTACCGTTGCACAGATCCACGTTAACACTCACATGGGAACTCTCGCTCTTCCTAGTCTGAATTTTGTGCATTTCCAAAGAGAATGGGTAAGTTGGTTTGCGCCTCAATCTGCCGCTGTGTGCGTATCATGGACAGGGGTGGCCTCGGACTGACCCTCAATGACCGTGTCATGTCAGAGATATAAATATATGTAACAAATGCGTGCAATTTTTTTTATGTTGTTCGTGGTAGCTGGTGCTTCTAATTAATGGGTAATTAATCGTCATCAAAAGAAGGAAGAAGGTAACTGGCACTATTTGGACACATGTAGTAGGATGGACAACAACAGCAAACTTAAAAGTATGTTCTTCGGAAAAATGGAAGGAATCGGAAAGAGAAGGAAGACCTAACAGAGAAAGGCTTGACAACGGTATGAGAAGTGATTGGTGCCAGAAATAAGTGGTACTACTTTAACATATTGGCACAAGACAGAGGAAAGCGGAAAACAAATGACGAAATGTGCAGGGGACACCTACGGGCTGTCTGCCCATGGATGGTGATGATGATGATCGTGGTCATCAATATTGCCCATTATATTATTTGCGAGATGAATACTTATTGCCACCATTTGCTGCAATCTTTTCCAGTGAGTTCTATCTAATTACATATACTTGAATGTATGTTGAACTTCTGTCTCACCATACGTAGCCAACCGTGCTAATTATTGGTGCAAGGGAAGGACAACAAACTACACGTAAAAATCTACAAAAAGAATTGAGTTTTCAATCTAGATCATTTGCAAGTGCGTAGCTCCAGTGGCTTCCTAGTATAGGAAGGAAGAACGTTCCAGATGGCTGCAGAAGCGTATCTGAAAGAACACAATGCGGTGACCATCTTTGTTCGATGACGAAAAAATAGAAGGTTTGAAGGATGAGCGGGGTTCATGTGATGATGTTTTGTGCTTCTTGACGAGATCAGCGAGGTATAGTGGTTAATTTGTGACAGCACTGTGTGTGTATGTGTCTCTTTTACAGGACTTACAAGGGAAACCAACAGCACCAATCCCCCAGGTAAGATAAAGAATTATCTGTGCATAGTCCTTTCAACATAACCACACTAGGAACAAGATCCTAGTGGACCCCAACAGCATATATTATAGAAAAGCCACTGTCAGCATTGTCAGGGCTGGCCAGAGTTAAAGTAAAAGTGAATCCCTATAAATTATAGTGACAAGAGTGGATAACTAAAAGCAACTGCGAGGATGAATGTATGCAAATAATTGAAATTATTTCTCACCGTACGTAGCCAACCGTGCAAAAGGTTCGGGGGAACGACGACAAACTAAACACAAAAATAGATCTTGATTTGAAGCTTTCGTGACTGCAGGAATCCATACTCTTTGGTTCATTCGGTAAAGTCACATAGAAAAATCATAATAGATCACGACGTTTCGATCGCCACACAAGCGATCATCGTATTTTCTATGTTATTTTACCGAAAGAACCAAAGTGTCCAAAAATCGATTCTAAAGTAATTAGTTTGTCAATCTAGATTATGTAAAAGTGTGTATCTCTAGTTGGCTTCCTAATATCAGAAGAAAGTGCGTGATACGCCGACCATCTTTGTTCAATGGTTAGCCAAAACCCCCTGCGATGATGAACGGAGTTCAAGTGGTGATGCTTTCTACTCCTTGATGAGACATGAACCAACAACAGAAAATGTTCCGCTTGTTTGCAGAGGTTAACAACTTTAATTCCAAAGGCCCGCGCTGGTTTATAACAAAGTAAACATAAAATACGTTCCGTTTGCTTCGCAGTGGATATTAAAGATTGTTGACGTTGTTAGAATTGAGTGTGCCATTTTGTGCCACAGTCAAACTACAAACTTCGAAAATTGACAGTAAGACTTTTGATAGAGAGAACTGCTGGAAGTATGGGGAGGATCCTTGGCTTTGCTTTGTGAAGGTCAAGGGAGGTGTAACTGTGTGGCAGGAACTGCTAGACTCAATGCAACCCAAAATAAGTTGGCTGATACAAAAACTTGTAAGATGGTGGTCAGGGCTATATACGGATAGAAGGTAAAACTTCATCATGATTTGATGTTAGGGCAGGTGTTCGTTAAAATGTTATTTTATTATTCTTTATTATGAATTTATTCTTATTCATCGTTATGCTCTCCTGCATATACACTTAGACCATGAATGGGGTTAGCACAGTAGAAAACTTAGGAATCAATCAAGGTGTGATGAGCGTGCAGGACTTGGAATATTAATGTTATGCAGCTTTGGTGGCAGTCTTAGGCACTGAGGCTGGACAAAGTTAATCACGGCAGCTATAAATAGGACTCCTGCAGCAGGATCACCAGACCGGATATGAAAAGCAAAGGTTGAGGTAGTAATCTACTTTTTGTAGTTAGGCATCAATCTCCATCATGCGGTGGGTTGAGAAGCAGGCCAAGTGGCTTATTGCTTTGGCATGGCAGGCTATTGATGTGCCATGGAAACAATTTTGGAAGGCAATAGATGGATTTTAGTAGGAAAAAAATGTTATTGCTTTCTGTAATATTGTATGGGTCAGAGATTTTAACCAAGTGGCTTGTAAAGGAGTTGTTGACATTGAACATATGTCTAAGACTGATCCTGGGAATTTAGTGCCGATACAGGATTAGCAGTGCCGTAATGTGACAGAGACCACGGTTGGTGAGTACTGTAGATATGATTGTGCAGGGTGTGGGATGGCAGGTTACCGAGACAGGAATTAATAAAGGTCTCCACGAGTCTTGCCAGTATCAAAGTATGAGACATAAACATTCGTTTTACCCTTCATGGAAATAAAATAGGCGTTAAGATGTTAAAACACCAAATTTTTACTTTTTGCAAGGAATCAAGTTTGCATTAACCACACACAGTACTTGTGGCAAAACATGCAAACAAACATGCTCTGATAATATGGTACAGGTCAATCAGTTTCAAAGACAATGGCAATATTATCAGAGCATGTTATTTTCCATGTTTTGCCATAAGTACTGTGTGTGGCTAATGCAAACTTGATGTCTTGCAAAAGGTGTTTATTTTGCGTTTGCGCATCTTAACACCTCTTGTTTTATTGCCAGAAAGAATAAAACCCAGATATTATTTTTCACATGAAGACCAGGTTGGTGAGATTACTGTTAGGGCAGATGTTGGGAGGTCACGTGTCTACTTTGCAGCAGCTGCGGGATTAAGCAGGTAGGGAGTGTTGACAGATTTGACCAAAATTATATCTTGGATTGTATCCGAAATTCCATCTTACAGAAAAAAAAATCGTGGTCGTGCCTGGGAACGCTGAGCACGTGATCCGCGGCAATAAGCCCGATCTGAAGAAGTGGGTCGCCAGCTCCTCATCTACTTTGCTGGACGAGCTGACGAGGAGGGGACACATCGCAGGGCACGTCTATTCCAAAGCCACGAGGATGGCCGCAATGGAACAGGCTGGCTTCCTGCTCGACCACTTCATCGACGGAGGAGAGAGGAAGTGTCAAAAGTTGCTGGAGACACTCCAGGAGCTCAAGGACAAATTCCCCGAGATCAAGCAGTGGCTCAGCTCTCTCGGTATGTCATTGCTTGCTGCTCACGCCGCTGCTGCAGGAAAGGCCTCCAGGAAAGGGAGCTCTGTAGTTTACATGTTCTCCTTATGGTCACGTGGATTTATTATCTGCGTGTTGAGAATCAACACGCATTTTAAGTATTTGGCTGCTTTAAAATTTACGCGTGATAAGACGCTTCATCGGGCTATCATATGTGATAGCCAGGTCGCTTCTGAAAAAAAAACTATATAGTAGCTCAATTGGCCTAAAGTTGTAAAATGTATAAAAAACTCTCATTGGTGAAGCGGAGGCCCAACACCTATTATACTACCACCCGTGCCCAGTCACTGTTGTCACTGTAGCGCCTATTGCAGTAACATAAATCACTTAGGCATGTGACGATGTTTGTTTGACTTCTATATGGCAAGCGGTAGTGGAGTGGTTAGCGTGCTGTGCCACACACCTGACTACTCGAGTTAAATTCCAGCTCACGGCCAACACCAGTGAAGATTATCTGAACCGGTCCTGGGCCTCCCCTAGGTCGACTCAGCCTCAAATGAGTATCTGGTGTGGTGTGTAAATATCACCATTTGGGAGACAAAGGCGGCCGGGCGTGGTGCTGGCCACTAGAGGCCGACCGAAATTCGGTTTTGGTTTCGGCGCCGAAATTTGGCAAATGGCCTCTTTCGGCATGCTTTCGGTTTCGGCCAAAAGTTATTTTTTTACTTTCGGTCTGGTTTCGGTTTCGGCCGAAACTGATATTGACTTTCGGTCATTCGTCAACCGAAGAAATTTTTTTTTAATATAATGCTAGTGCTACGTCTATCACTCTCCCTATTGGTCGGTCAGTTGGCGCTAGGCAATCCTATGCGATAGGCTGCAAACACACACATGTCAGCAGCAGCAGCTTGGGAGCGAGGTTACAGCCGCAACCATGGTCTGCTAATGTATATACGACCAGTCAACAGATGGCAGCCTGTCCGGCTGAATGCGGAAAAAACTGTTGTTTCTTAACTACAACATTCGTTTGTTTGGATATAATTACTAATTAAGTAACACAAAATTTGATATTTAGCGACTCTTACTGCAGGCTCTGAATTATTAATTCTAGATTTATTTTTAATTAAATTAGCATTGTATCATGACATATTTCATAAATCTTTTGTTCGGTAACTTCGTTTATATACCTTTCTGTTTTGGTGTCGGTCGAAAGTGTAGTTAAACTTTCGGTTTCGGCTTCGGTTTCGGCCGAAAGTCAATTTTTTACTTTCGGTCTGGTTTCGGTTTCGGCCGAAACCCGAAATTCAGTTTCGGTCGGCCTCTACTGGCCACCGACCTCGTGTGCCACAGTGTCGGCCTTCATTGAGTACTGATAATCACTAACAGCACTTGACCCAACAGTCTGTTACAGGCTTTGTTTTACTTTCTAAACGTATTTAATGTTATCTTTGGCCTTCATTCATGGAAAGGGTTCCTCACTCTTGGTCTATCTCTATGCATTGAAGTCGGATGAATATACGACCGTCTAGAATGCTCTTTCTTCAGATATTAGGAAGCCACTGGAGCTATGCGCTTTAAAATAATCTGAATTGAAAACGAATTTCTTCAGAACTACTTTGTGTGTTTAGTTTGTTGTCCTTCCCCTACACCTCAGATTAGCATGGTTGGCTACGCACTGTGCGAAAGAAGTTCAACATACGTACGTACGAATGTTCAGCGTTGGCTGAAAGTTACATGCATCTTTAACCAAGCACAACATGTCAATATGTAAACATATTATTTTACTGCGCCACAGAAAATAAGGCAGCAATTGTGATTGTGGAGGAGGGAACGCGAGAGAGAATCATCACCAGCCGTGAGGATCTAAAGAAGTGGATCACCAAGGACCCTTGGGTCCTGCTGGACGAGCTGGACAGCAAGTGGTACATCCAGCGGCATGTCTACAACACGGCCAGAGACATCAAGGACAAGGGCGAGTGCGCCGCCTTCATACTCGAGCACTTCATCAGCGGAGAGGAGGAATTCCAGAAGCTGCTGGTAGCTCTGAAGGCCGTGCAGAAACAATACGATCAAGGGCTACGCAAGTGGCTAAAAGCGCTGGGTGAGTGATAAAACAGAGAAGTCTCGAGGAGGTGGCTCAGATGTTTTTCCGCCATCTGTGATTCAAACGAGGTACTCAACTTTAGTGGCTCACCACCAATGACTGACATAGAGTTCTATAGGTTCAGACAGAGTTCCCGGGATTATTATAAAGTCCCATAGATTTGCAGATATATCTCAATAAAATTTGGCAGGTTTGTTGACTCTCAAAAACTTTAAAGAAATGTTGCCCAGGAGCTTTTGCAACATATGACCTCATGGTACAATAATAAATATAATAACCTCTATCTTGATTTGAAGCTTTCATAACTGCAGGAATCCATACTCTTTGGTTCTTTAGATCAAGTCACGTAGGTATTATTTTATACCAAAAGAACCAAAGAGTATAATAACCTCTATTTTATAACACGCCTTTCATTTTTAAGTATCTCAAAGCGCTGTAAATTAAAGTTAAACTACACTCAAAAGTGTAGATAAAATATCAGCGAACTAGAAAGCTTATAGCAATATCAATGACTACATTCGCAATTACAATACAATGAGGAGCTACGAATTATAATACTTACAGAGTAATCCAATTAGACACCAACATAGTATGTTATAATATAAAGTTACTGGAAAAGCCTGTTGTACAAATAGGTGAGTTTTAAGATGTAATCCTGGACCCGAGGAAGAGGATTCCACAATTACGAAGCCTGGCTCCGGGAGGCTCCATCTCCAATAGAACATGACAGTCTTGTCCTTGGACTGATGAGTAGTGGACCAAAATCAGCTGATCTAAGTTTTCGCAGTGGTTTATAAAACTTGAGCAGATCGGCGAGATATTTAGGAGCCAGCCCATTGAATGCCTTAAACGTGAGAAGCAGAATCTTCAAGTCGATTTTGTACTTTACAGGGAGCCAGTTCAAATCACAATGATTTTGATCCCATTGAATTTTTTTTGCGCACGTTCAGCGCAAAAATAATAATCTGTCATCGACATGTGTCAGGTTTGTTTAGAAATGTGTAGCTTTTCTACCTTTTTTTTAATAGAAATTGCTTTTAAAACCATTTCCCACGCATGAGCAATGCACGGGCGTGTTAATCTATACGCGGACCTCACTTAGCGCGACCACATACAACGCTGATCTGTAACATAAACTTACCATGTACTGTGTATACTGTCGTCAAGGAGCATAAACCATCGCAGTGACTTGTGGTTAGCCATTGTATAAAAATGGTCACCACATCGTGCACTTTTAGATGCGCTGCTGCGGCCATCTGGAACGCTCCGCCTTCCGACATTAGAAAGCTACTGGAGCTATGCGCTTTTAAAACTAAATTGAAAACGTATTTCTTTAGAACTGCTTTTTGTGTTTAGTTTGTTGTCCTTCCCCCCGCACCTCCGATTCGCGTGGTTATCTCTGTATGGTGCGAAATCATGTCAACATGCATATGTAACATAGTTAATTGCACATGATGCAGGATATCATAGGAATCCAATGCCGATGTAATTGGTGATTTAATGAGAAAGTACAAGAGGTGAGGGTTATGTGTCCCCACGTGGGACCCGTAAATTGGAATTTCAAAATTGTTGAGCCTGTGTGTCAGACCTATCACCTTCTCTTAACACAGATTTGAAAATAATTTGCTTTCTTTTTTTTCCTTCTCATAGTTATCCTACTACAGACCCATTACGCTATGTTAATGTAGTTTTACAAAACTATATAATTATGAACACAATCTGAATATGTTGTACAGAAACGGTGGACATTTGTTTCATATTTGGCAGTCAGTCATAGGCAAGGGAGTCAACTGCACGGATGGTTATGGCAATGAAGTTCCAACTATAGGGGCAGCAGACTTAAAGTAGAAATCTCTCAGTGAGCTAGGTATAAACTGAACTGTAAACTATTTATGTTTTACCACGTAAAGGACCACTGAGCTATTTATCTCTTTTTTAGAAGCGACCTGGCCACAACTTATAACTGAATGAAGTGGCTCATCATGTGGATATTTATAGCAGCCAAATACTCTAAAAGCATGTTTCTAAATGTGGAGGGTAAAACCGGAGAACCCGGAGAAAATCCATGCAACCATGGGGGGAACATGCAAACTTTAAATATACAGCCGGCATCAGGGTCGGGATCGAACCCACGTCTCATGCATTTAAATGTAATGAATCTGATTATTTTCATGTTTTTGTCTCTGTGTTGCAGGGCTTCCATTTTCACCAGGTTCTCCAATTTCGCACGATGAACCTCTGGCAAATCCAGCAAGTTGTTATCATGAGCCTGCGTTTCATTTTTAATGACAAAGAATCCTTCAATAGCACTACAATTACCCACTCGTTCACAAGACCCCAGTGAAGACCAAAAGAGAGTTTCCACGGCTGATGAATCATCATAATTGATCTGCGCAGCCATGATCTGCGCACTTGTAGGTGAAGGACTTTCCAATCCATAGCTACATCTCATGATTTCGCAATTCAACAACCCATGAGGCTGACGCTTACGAGTTGAATTCATCATTCCGTCTCCACCATTAACTTCGACCGCTGACTAACATATCTTTCCACAAAGGCTCCATATTCCAAGCGCACTTTATTAACCCTCTCCAGGGCGCTACGGTGGCTGGGAGATGTACCTCGCCTTGTATACAATAGGTTGTTGGCTTTATGGCGACCCTGACGCCTGTGTAAAACTAAAAACTACTTTTTTTTTACCAGCTAAGGCCCACAGAGCTATTTATCTCTTTTTTTAGAAGCAACCTGGCTATAACAAATGATGGCCCAACGAAATGGTTTATCACATGAAGATTTACAGCAGCCAAAAACTTTAAACGCATGCTTATAAATGTGGAGGAGAGAGAAACATTCAAACTCCAAATATACTGTATATACTGTATATTTTCAGTTTGTGTGTTCTCCCCGAGGTCTCGTGGATTTTCCTCCGAGTCCTCCGGTTTTCCTCTCCACATTTTGAATCAACGTCACACGTTTAAAGTATTTCGCTGCTTTACATTTCCATGTGATAATCTACTTCGTCGAGTGATTATTGGTGACCAGGTTGCTTCTAAAAAGAGCTGTACAGCTCAGTGGCACTTACCTGATATCATACATTTTTTAAATAAATAGTTACATTTGTATTTCTTTGCACACCTTTCAAATATTGTTACATTTCCAAGATCAACCATCCATTTTTCTTATCCATATGGCAAAGTAGGTAATCTATTATATATTGTTGCCTCTATTATAACCTCCAACAGATCAACATATTGTTTTGCATTAATGCTTTGTTTTCTCTAAACGTCCCCAGCAGATGTACCGCGTAAATAACGTGCATTTGCAATTAACGTCGTCAATTTAAAGTCCTGATCTTTATTTGTCTTTACCGCAACAACGTACAGCCCACCTTTGTACTAGTATGGAAATTCAGACAATGGACAGCAATACCACCACTGCGATTGGCTATGCCGACGCCACGCAAACTCAATCATATCGAGCTGTGACGTAACGTCACACTACAGTGATGTATGCTGGTTTGACTGATAAAGTCTGCACGCAATTGCCTTTGAAATAATTTGATAAAGTTGCTTCTGTATTCACATTTCCAGAGGAAATAAATGTAAAACCATGGAAAAGTATTAAACTGTGATATGCATTAGGCTTCAGCCTAATCGCAGGAGGCAAAACGATACTTAAATAATTTTAAAAATGTGCAGCATGTTTTTTGTCATCTTAGACTAAGGTGTAGTAGGGAAATACAGTTCAGTTACCTCTATTCCTGCAAGAGGGTGCCAGTGAGCTCGAAAGCTCTAAATGTGGGATTCCTGCGTTAACTGCAGAAGTTACATAACGCACAGACATTCTCATGAGATTTCAGTAGACATTGACTTGCAATTATACTTTTAAAATCGTTGTTTTATGTATACACTAGCTGTACTACCCGGCTTCGCCCGGGACTTGTATCCACCACGGCCGGCCGCCTTTGTCTCCCCAGTGGCGATGTTAATACGCTACAGCAGTTACTCGTTTTGCGGCTGAGTCCCTCCCTCACCACTCTCCCTCCCTCACCACTCTCCCTCCCTCACCACTCTCCCTCCCTCACCACTCACGCACGGCCGCCTTTGTCTCCCCAGTGGCGATGTTAATACGCCACACCAGTTACTCGTTTGAGGCTGAGTCGACCTAGGGGAGGTTCAAATAATCGTCACCGGTGGTGGCCGTGAGCGGGAATGGAACTCGGTTCGCCGGGTTTGTAGCGCAGCGTAGCGTTAACCACTACACCCACCGCTCCTCACACACCACACACGCACAGACACACACACAGACACACACGCAGACACACACAGACAGACACACACACACACAGACACACAGACAGCACGCTAACCACTACACTACCGCTCCCCACACACCACACACGCACACACACAGAGACACACACAGACACACACACACAGACACAGACAGCACGCTAAGCACTACACTACCGTTCCCCCTACACAACACACGCGCGCGCGTCCATAGGTACACATACACGCGCTTGCTGCAGACACACGACTTTCAGGGTGCGTACGGCAGTAAACGACTGAAATAATAAAGCGGCAATGCTGCGCAAGGAACGCCTTAGACCTGCAACACATTTGTGTAATGCGAGCGTAAACACACAAACACATACAAACACATACACACACATACATGCAGACACACAGACAGACACATAACACACATACATATACACACATACATACACAGAAAGACATACACACACATACATAGACACACACATACATACACACAAGCACATGCACACACGTTCATACACACATACATACAGACACGCAGACATACACATAAAGACATAGAAAAAAACCCACATACATACACACACACATACACACAAACACATACATACATACACACATACATAGAGACACACAGACATACACATAAACACATACACACATACACATGACCCGGCTTCGCCCGGGACTTGGATCCACGATGCCCGGCCGCCCATTTGTCTCCCCAGTGACGATGTTCACACACGACAGCAGTTACGCGTTTGAGGCTGAGTGGACCTAGGGGAGGGCCAGGTCCGTTTCAAATAATCGTCAGCGGTGGTGGGCGTGAGTTGGAATCGAACTGGGGTCGCTCAAGCAGCATAATGACTATTTGTACAAAGAACATATAAAGAATCGATTATAATAACCAGGCTACAGTCCACATTATAGACTGCCAGTACACGCAGTCAGCTTCATAAGCAGGCTAGAGTGTACATGATAGAGTGGCAGTACGCTCACCGAGCTTAATAAGCAGGCTACAGTGTACATGATAGACTGGCAGTACGCTGACCCAGCTTAGTGACTATTTGTACAGTGAACATTTAAGTAATCGATTGTTGGCGCGTTGGGTTTAAAAGTAATATTAATTGCACACATTGTGGTGGGGGTGGAGTGAAGAGTAGGAAAAACTTTGATGAATTTACCTCAGAGTGGCGTGGTGGGTGTCGAGGCCTAGTAGCGTGCAGAGCCTGCGGCCTCGCCAAAATTGGCCACCCGGCAGAGGCAGGGTACGGGTGGCGTTCCTTCCCCCCCCCACCTCAGCGCGCCAACAATACTGTGTAATGGCTATTATTTAAATTTCGATTTAAAGCTTTCGTGACTGCAGGGATTCATCTTCTTGGTTCTTTCGGTAAAGTCACGTAGAAGGGAAGTAATAAAATAATAAAAATAAAACATAATAAAACAATTCTCAAAGATACATAAAGAAGATACACCTCTTCGTCCCATTGTCTCTACTATCAACTCCCCCACTTACAAACTGGCTCGTTTTTTGTCCGAAATCCTACGGCCTTTCACTGGAAAAACCACCTCTGCAGTACTAAACTCTACTGACCTGGTATCGACAATCAAGGGGATTGCCCTGTCCCCAGACGACCTGCTTGTCAGTTTCGATGTGGTTTCCTTGTTCACCAAGGTGCCTGTGCCTGACACCATCGCAATCATTGAAGACTTGGTTCATCAAGGACTGAATGCTGGGGTACCCCCCCTGGTGAGACACTGCTTAACCAATACATACTTCACCTGGAATGGAACCTTCTACAAGCAAATTGAGGGCACCCCAATGGGCTCCCCCCTATCTCCGGTTGTAGCCAACATCTTCATGGAGAAATTTGAGACGGACGCCATCCAGACTGCCACTCTACGCCCGACCTTATGGAAGAGGTACGTAGACGACACTTTTGTCATCTGGCCACATGGCCGGCCTACTCTAGACCAATTTCTCGACCACATCAATTCCATACACCCAGCCATCAGATTCACCATGGAAGTCGAAAATGATGGCAAGCTACCCTTTTTGGATGTCCTAATCAAAAGGAGACCTGATGGTTCAATGAGCCATTCTGTCTACAGGAAAGCCACCCACACGGATGCTTATCTAAAACCGGATTCCCACCACCATCCATCCCAGAAGAATTCCCTCATCAAGACTCTATATCATAGAGCCCAATGCATCTCCGACCATGAACACATTTCCAGTGAACTCAAACACGTACGCCAAGCTCTTAAGGCTAATGGTTACTCCGACTACACAATCCGCAAAGCCATCACTCCAACCATCAAGAAGGATCCTGTTGAGGAGCCTTTCAAGACCATCACCTTACCCTACATTGCTGGGGTCACAAAAAAGATCTCCAAAATCCTGATTAAACACAAGATCCAGGTCCGATTCAACACAGTACATAAAATCCGTGATCTGGTCCCGTCTGTAAAAGATGTGGTTCCAGACATACAGTACCCTGGCGTCTACAAACTAAGTTGCCTCTGTGGTAGCAGTTACATTGGAGAAACCAAACGACATGTCTCGGACCGCATCCGTGAACATAAGGCAGACCTGAAACACGGTAGGACAAACACCTCAGCCGTGGCAGATCACTGTTACAATTCAGTGGGCTCACATGACATTGACTTCTCCAAGACAGAGTGAGAATTGTTTTATTATGTTTTATTTTTATTATTTTATTACTTCCCTTCTACGGGGCTATTATTTAATTATTTACGGAGCCTATGAAAGTGGCGAAGGCGTGGCTAGCCGTTGGCAGGGGCAACCGCCGTCCAATGAAACTGCAGCCCTTGGCGAAGGCGTGGCTAGCCGTTGCCAGGTCCAATGAAAGCGGCGAAGGCGTCGCTAGCCGTTGCCAGGGGCAACCGCCGTCCAATGAAAGTGCGTATGGTCCGAAATCCACACACACACACACACAGACGGACAGACAGACATTCACGATTTTATATATATAGATTACAAACAGTGGAAAACCGACATTTTATAACTTGGGCACCTCTACATTTTGGGGGAATTAACATTTTAACGTTATTATATTTCAACGTATGTGGCTATAAAGGTTTGTACCTGGAGATGTTAACGTTAGGTAAATTCAACTATGCGATTTACGGTATGTGTATTTTGGGTGTATTCTGTTGAAAGTGCGCCACTGATGCCACTATACAGAATGTTCTGTGTGTATGTGTGGTAAATGCACAATATTTAATGTTGACCAATTCCAGCGTACGTGTATTCTCAAAATAACGTTGGCGGATATACCATGCCCTGCATATAATGGTAATTTTTTGGTGACCACGAATATTTTTTATGAAGAAAATCACACTCTTGATGTAAACACATTCAACACCGCGCAAGACAATAGTGATGTGTTGCTTGCTGCATCTTTACGTTACGCAGAACCATAACGAATCGGGTAATCCCATTGTAGTACTGCACTGCACATTCGCTACTTGCATTGCATTGTATGTTCCAAAAATGCCTGTTTTTTGTAGTGGCATCAGTACAGTGACCCTTCTCTATTCGCGAGTTCTGGATTCTTGAGTTTTGATGATTCGCAAGTTACTAAATGTATACTAATTCCTATTTGCGACTCGCCGGACTCCAGTATTTACGAGCATACGTAGTCAGACCACCGACACTGGGGAGGTGCGCGCAGAATCTAGTGAAACTGCCAAGATTAAAAACGTAACCCTCGCGGATAGAAAGGGTTTTATTGTACTATATTTTATAATGAAATTCAAACAACATTACAAGCTTTTTGGAATAAACTAATATGTGGCCTAAACCAAAACTTACATGGATCATGGTTTTTGTTGTGAAAAACACATGTTTTAAATCAACATTACAAGCTATAAAGCGGCATTTGTGGAAATTTCTGTTTGCAAGGAAAATGTATACACAGGGGCACCCAACCACTGAATTATCATGGAGTTTAGAGGACACACCATCCAAGAGCTTAATTCGTTATTTTCTGCAAACAAGTTTTCCAGTTGGAAGCAATTAATGGGTGGGGATAACATTGGTTTGAAAGTTGTAATTCTATGATAATTTTTGTTTATGAAATAATTTATGCATTTTCCTCGAATTTTGTCCGCATTGTTTTATCAGTGTAGTGTAACGGGACAAATACACCATGTGGTCACTCACAGTGTAATCCTCTGTGTCAGCCTATGTATATATGTGTGTTGAACTTCTTTCACACCGTACGTATCCAACCGTGATAATCGGAGGTGCAGGGGGAAGGACAACAACTAAACACAAAAAGCAGTTCTAAAGAAATACGTTTTCAATGTAGTTTTAAAAGTGCATCGCTCCCGTTGCTTCCCCATTGATTTGATTATTTATTTACCCCATTCGTTCACTCCGTGTTTGTGCTGAAGTCCAAGCCATCCAACACATTACCAACGAACGCTCCATACATGCACATCCTGAAATCAATTATCTCAAGTTATATTTACCAACTAAAACAAGTATATCAATGATAAACTAACGAAAATGTTGAGCAAAGTTGTAATTCCAACTTTAGCTCAACACGACGCTTAACCACGACAGTTTTACAGGAAATTAACCGTTTCACAACCATTGTGCATCTTCAACAATCACTTAAGCACCACCTTAACGTGATGAACTCTCAAGCCGATTGTCAAACTCAAGTGACAGAACTCGGCACAAAACACCGACAAAAAAAAATAATGGACAAATCTTAAAACCAGACAGCACACCAAGATGGCAATACTTAGCACCTCCCACCGTACACAGCACAACATTATACAGCCCAAATGAACCAATTGTCAGACCAAGCAATTGCCTGTATAAACAGATGTCATATAACTACCTCCGAGATTAAGTTTTAATCTTTATCCTCATTCCCCCCCCCCCCCTTTCCAACACGTCGTCATCCATCACATTATTTAACCAATTTAATTCGATGGATTGTTTTGCATTATTGTTAATGACTGGGCTGAGACCATGAACTCACTGGCACTGAAGAAGCTGGTTTAATCACAGGTGGATGTCTGGATTTAAACCCAGGATTTAACTGCCTACTCAATGCTTTGACACGTATTTATGTATGTTGAACTTATTTTGCACCAGCCAACCGTGCTAATCGGAGGTGCAGAGGGAAGGACAACAAAGTAAACACAAACAGTTATTTTTTTTATTATTAGGCTTTTATTTAAAAGAACACGAGCCCGTTATAACCCGTCGTGCAAATCAAGTCCATGAGTGAACAGTCGCGAAGAGCCGTCCCGACGCAACTGAGCTCTATACAAGAGAAGGGGGAAGGAAGTTGTTGGAAGGGGGGGGGGCGCTGCCCAAGTTGAGTGAGTCCATCAACATTTTAAATGTGGAGGGGGGGGTGGAGGTAAGGAAGTACTGTATAACCAAACTAATGAGGAACGTTTAGAGTATCAGTGAGGGGAAACGGGAGAAAGGGCAGAGGAAGGGAAGAAGGAACGTTTGAGCGTTACCGAGTTCCACTCTCTTTTATCTGCTGAGAGGGGAGGGAACCCCTCTTCTCTGGTCCCAATATCTCGGCTCACCAATTAAACAGGCTTATTTTAAACTCGCCATGAAAGGGGACCACCTATCCTCGAATTCTTTCTCCTTTTCCGTTACTTTTGGCTCAGATACTCCATGCCTAGTCACGTTTCATCACCATATCTGGTTCCTGAACCCACAGGATTTCTTCGACCGTTGGAGAAAGATGTGTGCTTCATATGTTGTTGAAATAGCTTATACAATGTCCAAGTAGAGTTTCAAAACATCTGGGCAGTACCAAAACGTGTGAAAATGTGTTTGTATCGTGCCCGGTGTGCATTGTGGGCAGTCAGGCGAGCTCTCCGTAAACTTCGCCCTTTTCTAATTTGTCAGGGATGCTCCGTGTATAAATTCAAACTGGATTAACCAAAGTAGTAGGGCTCTTGGCCAGATTTCGGGGTTCACCAGATCTCTAACCAAATCTACAGCGTTATCTCATTGGGCACAAACCTGTTCCACAGCTTCTTGGTTACTCATCTACTGGCGGAGCATCCCTCTACCCAAAGTCGAAAGACCTTAGACAGTATATAGTAAACCTTAGATGTCTCTAATCAGCAAATGAGTGAGTCCATGCGTCCCGTTTTCTGTCGGCAGAGTTTGTTATAGCGTCTCTGATTTGGAGATGTCAAAAAATTTGAGAATGGGGGATGTCATAGGAGGCCCGCAATCCATCAAAAGACAGTACCCAACCGTCCGTGTACAATAGATGCTCAACTCTTTCCATGCCAGCCTCCCTCCAGTTATCTATTTTATGACCTTATCCCCCACCTTTAATGATGGGGTACCCCAGAGTGTCGATGCTCTATGTAGTGGGACTGAAAGGGAACTTTGCGGTCCTTGCAACCTGTTCGTGTCGAGGCAACTGACCATAGTGGCTGAATTCCTCATGGTCTATCTTTATTTCTGGCTAGAGCATACCCCTCTAGGGAGAACGGCTTGACCGATTCCTCCTCCCAGCTTTTCACAATCCCTCACTTTTTCAGGTCGAGCTATCCCTTCACATTGTAAAGGCCCACAGCTTAATGCTATTTCTGGAAGTTCGGGAGGCCTATAGACCCTAATCTGCTGGTTGAGTGAGAAGGGAGTGTCCTATACGAGATAACTTGCAGTTCTAAATAAAGGAGGAGATTCTGGAATTTAGCGACTTAAAAAAAAAGTCCTGGGGATCTGTGTCGGCATCATTCGCAAACAGGTACAGTATCTTTGGAAGAATCATAATTTTAATAAAGTGTGCCCTGTTGTGAAAAGAGAGGGGGACGTCGATTCAGGCGGCCAGCGAGGCAGTGACTTCATGAAGCAGGGGGGTAATTATTTCGGAGCTGGCTCAGTGAGGAGGGAACTATAACTCCGAGGTATTTAACGTGTGATGAGGACCACTTGAAGAGCATCAAGTCTTCCTGGGTTTTAGGAGTAACTAAAGAAAAGGGCCATTACCTCGGATTTTTCAGAGTTTAATTTATATCCTGATGCCTTCCTGTTGTCCACCACGATGCATAAGATGGCGGGGTTTGATGTTTCCGGTTTCCTAAACATACAGTAATTAAAACATCGTCCACATAGAGGTTTATTTTATTCTCAACCGTACCATATGCCACACCCATGATTGAGTGGTTCGTCCTAGTGCTCTCAGCCAAAGTCCATTGTGAGGCTAAGGAACAGCAGGTGGAGGGGGACCCCTGCCTCGTTCCTCTCTCCAGCGCAACGTTATGAAACATTCCATTTGTTACAACCGAGGCCATCGGGTCTGTGTAAAATAAGCCCACACACATCTGTGAATTGGGAGGGGAACCCGAATTTGTCCATTTCCCGTAAAAACAATGCCCTTTCCACTCTGTCGAACGCCTTTTACATGTCTACCATGCAGGGAAGTTATTTCTTGTGGCTAGCTCTACAGCATTGACTAAGACCCTGATATGTTCAGCTGAGTCCCTGTTCTAAAAAAAACCTGTCTGGGCCTTATCTATAATGGATTGGAGAATCTTCTCTAGTCTTTCCACCAGACAAGAATAGGTTTTCCCCTGTTTTATGGCAACAAAACAGGTGTTAAGATGTTAAAACACCAAACTGAAACCTTTTACAAGGAATCACGTCTGCATTAACCACAATATTTGTGGTCAGAATGCAAAAACAATATATACTCTGATAATATATGCATTGTATTTGAAACTGATTGGTCCACACCAGAGACAGCTTTTTTTCGAGCCGAGTGTCAAACGGTGTTAGACCAGAGTACGCCACCAGAGTTTTGGGCAAATTGGCCGATAGCTGCCCAGCGTGTATTCTGGGGAACCCGGTTTATGGAAGACCGTTAACCTAGGTTCGCTCATGGAATGGGGAAGGCTTCCTAACAAAAGAGCTGTGTCTAGGGCTGTCTTCAGCTGCATCAGGACAGAGGCCCCAACTTCCTGTAAAGTGCAACGTTAATCGTATCTAGGGTGGCTACTTTTCTATAGGTGGAGGCGAGTGTTTTTTGGTGTTTAGTTTGTTGTGCTTCCCCCGCACCTCCTACTGGCATGGTTGGCGATGTACGGTGCGAAAGAAGTTCAATATACATACACAACTTCCCACACTGACTCACACCCACCCGCTAATTTCCCCCTCCCCCTGTCTCCCGCACTCAGGACCATGACCGTTGTCCCTTCCTCGCCGCTCAGATTCATCATGAAACTCTTCACCGTGTTCTGCGCGCTGCAGCTTGCATAACTCATGGTTCGGAGAAGTCGCCTCTATGTCTTCCTCTGCCTCCTCTTCCTCGCTGTTTAGCTCCAAGTGCGTGGACAGGGTGGGGGGGGGGGGGCAGGAGATGCCTGGCGTAGGAGGGAAGGACGAGGTTCGGACGATGATGCTGATGACGAATTGGCTTGGGACCTCGGCTGAACCAGTTCGCGCCCTGGCACAGAGGAGCAGTGGTTGTGGCAGTGCAGAAATGCGCAATGGGAAGAGCGCAATCAGAGGCGTAGCTTGGGGGGGGCAGGGGGGTACATATGTCCCCGGGCGCCAAGATAAAGGGGCGCCAAAATGAGGCTTACAACGTTACATTATAACTTATTGCGGCGGGCGCGGCAGCCTGAAACTACTGCACAAATCTACACCTCAATCTAAAAGTTGATATCTCCCGCCACACACAGCCTACATGTCATGTAATTACATTTTGGCACGCGCGCCTATTAAGAACTTACATGGAAGAACGTCCCAAACAACAGACAGGCGCAGTCTTTCAGCCTTAGTCACTGGCCTGTTTCTTGGTGGCGGAAACTACGACGGCCTGAAACACGCTGGAGTGCACGATCAGAAGCTGTTAAAGCTATCTATGAAGGACTGGATGAACTAGTAGGGCTGCTAGACAAATTATCGGAGGACGTAACTATGACGCCTGAAACCAGAAGTGATGCAGAACAGTTACAGGCATGCGTA